CCCCCTTTCCTCTTTCCCCTCCACCTCTCCTTGCTGCTGGGCCACAGCCCAGAGTCCCAGGGAGTGATCAGCGGTGCTGTTTTCCTTATCATTCTCTTCTGCTTCATCCCCTTCCCTTTCCTGAACTGCTTTGTGGAGGAGCAATGTAAAGCTTTCCCCCACCATGAAGTAAGTGGGTTAGTGGGAGTGGTTGTGTGGCTGGGGCTGGGAGATACCTGAGAATTGGGGTTATTTGGGTTTGCGGGGGAGGGGCTGAGGAACGAACAAAAAGAGGAATTCTTGAAAGGAATGGTGAAATGGGAATGGGGTTGAGCTGTGACTTGCCCGAGCCTCCCCCAGTTTGTGGCCCTGATAGGTGCACTCCTTGCCATCTGCTGCATGATTTTCCTGGGCTTCGCGGATGATGTCCTGAATCTGCAATGGCGCCATAAGCTACTGCTGCCCACAGCTGCCTCACTACCTCTCCTCATGGTCTATTTCACCAACTTTGGCAACACGACCGTTGTGGTACCCAAACCCTTTCGACCGATTCTAGGGCTGCATTTGGACTTGGGTGAGTAGCCCCGCTACCGCTATCCCTATGTCCCCTACTTCAGGGCACCCTTATCCCATAAGCTATCCAGCAGAGCATCCTTCCTGGTGCTCCACATTCTCCGTCTAGTGTCCGTGATGTGTTTCTGTGTTTTCTCAGATCCTTTCTGTTGGCCCTTCATTTTATCCTTTGTCCCCACTACTTTTTTTCAGAAAAACATCCTTAAATTCTCATTCTATACATGGCACTACTTCATTTCTTACTGTCTTCCCCTCCAGGGATCCTGTACTATGTCTACATGGGGCTGTTGGCAGTGTTCTGTACCAATGCCATCAATATCCTAGCAGGAATTAATGGCCTAGAGGCTGGCCAGTCGCTAGTCATTTCTGCTTCTATCATCATCTTCAACCTGGTAGAGCTGGAGGGTAAGTGGGATTGGGGTTAGGGAGAGAGAAATCTGAGTGTTAAGGGAGTTGTCTGATATTTGGCTTTGGGAAACTTGGAAAAAAACGCAATATGTTAATAATTATAGACAATAAGGGAAGGGATTTACTTTGCAAATAACAACAAAGACTTATTAAATGTAAGAAAAAGAGCAGCCCTGTCATTTATAGCTAGATTGCACTAATAGGTAGCCCATGTTCTTCTCTTATTGAACATAAACAATTTCAGAGAACCCCCAAATCACCCTATCACCACTATAAAGACATAAACCAAACGCCTTTGTAACTATGTCTGAGCATGGACAAAAACCACAAGAACACTGAATCCCTCAAAATAACCCAAATCCCCCTCTTTTGGCTAACATGAGTGATTGCTTCTTCTAGTTCACTTCCTCCCACTTCTTGGATGAAAATTAAGATGTTCATAGAATTACTCCAGTTGACAGCACCTATACCAGAGCAAAACTGCCTCCTTTTATCCTCAGAATAGCTTTTTTAAAAACTATTTTATTTATTTATTTTTAGAGAGGACAAGGGAGGGAGAAGGAGAGGGAGAGAAACATCGAGGTGGGAGAGAAACATTGATTGGTTGCCTCTCATACACCCCCAACCCAGGACCTAGCCTGCAATCCAGGTTGTGCCCACCAGGAATCACCAGCGACCTTTCGGTTTGCAGGACGAGGCACAACCCATTGAGCCACAGCAGTCAGGACCTCTTCAGAATTACTTAAAACAAATACTATAACAAATCCTCCTGGCACCCCTTTACTGAGGTTCCCCATGGTATGTAGTTTCTGAAAGTCTCCCTTGTCACAAGTCAGTAAATCCAACTTTGATTACAGGTGTGTTTCTGGTGGTCTTTGGCTAATGGACATCAATAAATGTTAAAGCTAAGCACTTTTAAAGCATCTCATTTAAACTTTTAACAGCTCTGTATGGCAGGTGTTATTAACTATATTTTACAGATGAGGAAAAGGAGGCTTAGAGAAAAATGTGTCACGATAAAGTTGCACAGTTAGGATGTAAAGCTTGTATTCAAACTGAGCTCTGAAAGGTCTAAACCAATTTAAGACAAATAACTAGTTTAGAAAGGGTTCGTGAAGGAGGTGGAATGTCGAGAATTACCTGGGTGACATAAAAGGGGTAGTAAGTTCTTAAATGTGACTTGGGAAAGGTGGGCAATATAGCTTGGGATATAACTTAGAGGCAAACAGAAACAGGGTATGCAGAGGAAGTGGCAGTCAATTTTTCCTTCTTTCTTTTTCCCCTGCTTCCAAAGGTGATTGTCGAGATGATCATGTCTTTTCCCTCTACTTCATGATACCCTTTTTTTTCACCACCTTGGGATTGCTCTATCATAACTGGTAAGTAGGCGTATGGATGGGGGGGCAATTCTTTGAACATGTGGCAAGTATGATTCTGATCATGACCCATTTCCTGATGGAGAGGCTAGACCTATGCATACCTGTTGAGTGTTTTCTGGGTCTTCAATGGATAGTATTTTTAAGTTGCTTTTTTATTTTTAATTTAATCTTTATTGTATTTTTTTCCCACTACCATTTAGTCCCCTTATACCCTCCTCCCCCCTTAAATTGCTTTCTACCCATCAGTGGTTGGGGACAAGTGCTGTGGAGCCCCAGGATAGATGAATTAAGGGCTTTGGGTCCTGGTGAGTTGCTGGGAGAGCTGCATGGAGTCTCTGAGTCAGAACTAGGGCCAGGGCTAGCCCAGTGCCCAGGATGCGTGATATGACAGGAAAGATTGGTAATGCCTCTTGCCACTGGCTCAGATCCTCTCCCCCCACACAGGTACCCATCACGGGTGTTTGTGGGAGATACCTTCTGTTACTTTGCTGGCATGACCTTTGCCGTGGTGGGCATCTTGGGACACTTCAGCAAGACCATGCTACTCTTCTTCATGCCCCAGGTGTTCAACTTTCTCTACTCACTGCCTCAGCTCCTGCATATCATCCCTTGCCCTCGCCATCGTGTGCCCAGGTAACTGCTTTGGGGCTTGAAAGGGACATCATAGCTTTTTCACTTGGGATGCATAAAGCCAGCCTTATACATTTGCTGTGCAAAGGGAGTGGGCCCAACAAAGGGCTGTTTCCATGTGGATAGCATTTTACAAATGATAGCACATGTATTGTAAGTGCCACTGTAATCTCATTTATTGTTCACAACAGCTCTGATCACAGTAGTAAGCAGCAGAGCCAGAAATAGATCTCAAGTTGTTTGAGTCCACATTCAGTGCTGTTCTATTACATAACCACACTGAGGATAGTTCTTTAAGTAGTGGCCCAGTTACATAAAGCTCTCTTCCCCCTGCAGACTTAATACCAACACAGGCAAACTGGAAATGAGCTATTTCAAGTTCAAGACCAAGAGCCTCTCTTTCTTGGGCACCTTTATTCTAAAGGTAACAGGGGAAAAAGGAGGTAAGGCTTTAGGTCACCATCCTGAATTCAGAGAATGAGGAACCTAGGCCTGCATTAGATCCAAGGGGAGTTTGGAAGCAGTAAGCAGATCCTTATTCAATAAGCATAGGTATTAGCTGAAGTTCTCTTCACCTCCGGCCCTTCCAGATGGCAGAGAGTCTCCAGCTAGTGACAGTGCGCCAAAGTGAGAATGAGGATGGTGTCTTCACCGAGTGTAACAACATGACCCTCATCAACTTGCTACTTAAAGTCTTTGGGCCCATGCATGAGAGAAACCTCACATTGCTCCTGCTGCTGCTACAGGTACAGATGGGAATGGGGTTTACACCTTCTTGTCTCCCTTTCTCCATGGTTCTTACTCTAGTCCATTTTTCCTTGCAGATCCTGGGCAGTGCTGTCACCTTCTCCATTCGGTACCAGCTTGTCCGACTCTTCTACGATGTCTGAGTCCCCTGGTCATTGCTCTTTACTTCACATTTCCAGGGTTCCTGACTCAGGCCAACCTCATTCTAGACCAAGACTGCCTCTCAGCCCAGGCCCCTCCAGCACCTCATTCCTCTTAGCATTTTCTTTCCTCTGTGATTATTGACATACTGGGCCTTTCTTGCCATCCAGTGACTATTGATTAGATTTTGCCTGTAATTTTCTTCAACTCGCCACTCTCCCTACCCATCCCATCTTTGCAGACTGCAGCTGTGAGGCAGTTTTCCACAACTCTGACTTTCAAGGAATATGTTGGGCCTGGGGATAGAACCCTGGCTGGTGATAGGGACACAGGCTCGAAGATGACTTCATATTAGACTATATTCTGATTGGTAAAAGCAGGTGGCGTTTGGGGAGCACAGGTGCTCCCAGTGGTAATAATAAAGTGCTGTCTTTTTCTTGTTCCTGTAGGTGTGTTTCCTATATGGGCATTTCAGGGTAGATTGGGAGGGTTTGGTGGAGGCACTTCCTCCACAAAGATGCCCATCTCTCTGCTCTATCCTTTTTTCTCCCTTCTCAGTACACCAGGCCCCTTCTAGCAAAACAGGTGCAGAGCTAACTGAAACCAGACAAGACATTTAATAAATATTGAAATCCTGATACTTCAGGTGGCATGAAGAGCCATAAGATTAAGAGCTATCTCTTCTCTGGTATGGGATCAGAACTTTCAAGGGCTCTCTCATTTCTTTCCTTTTTCACTCTCCTTGCAGGATAGGAGGAGGGAGTGAACAGACCTGGAAGGGAAGGCAGAGGTCTCGGTAGTAGTGTTAACCCTTTCCTTCACAAAATCCCAGGCCCAACACATTCCCAAAGCTTCAGACTCCACCCTCTTTTTCTTCTGGTTTTGGCCCCTGGCTGTAGCGTTTAAATCTCGCGCGCTTCCTGCAGATTGGCTAGATGAGGAACGGTCGCGTGTTGTCAAGCCACCACTCCTCGCCATTTTCCCCGGGCAAAAGGTTTTCAAATCCGACCAATCGGCTGTCGCTCTCCCTCAGCGGCGATACGTCACCGAAGAGTTAACCGCAACCAACCAGAGATGCTCTTAGAGAAAAGAACCAATCAGGAGGGCGCGGAGGTGTGCCCTGGGGGCTTATAAGGACAACCCTTGGGCGTTCGCGGCAGCAGTTAGACTGCAGCGAGCAGTTGTGTGTTGACCTCTTCGAAGAACTCGTCACTTCTCTACCTCACGCGCAGTATGTCTGGCCGCGGCAAGACTGGGGGCAAGGCCCGCGCCAAAGCTAAGTCGCGCTCGTCGCGTGCAGGCCTTCAATTCCCTGTGGGCCGTGTTCACCGGCTGCTGCGGAAGGGCCACTACGCAGAAAGGGTGGGCGCAGGCGCGCCTGTGTACCTGGCAGCGGTGCTTGAATACCTCACGGCGGAGATCCTGGAGCTGGCGGGCAACGCGGCCCGCGACAACAAGAAGACGCGCATCATCCCCCGCCACCTGCAACTGGCTATCCGCAATGACGAAGAGCTTAACAAGCTACTGGGCGGCGTGACGATCGCCCAAGGAGGTGTTCTGCCCAACATCCAGGCCGTGCTGCTGCCCAAGAAAACCAGTGCCACCGTAGGGCCAAAAGCACCGGCGGGCGGCAAGAAGGCCACCCAGGCCTCTCAGGAGTACTGAGGGGCGCCCGCGCTGCCCGCCCCCGGGAGCCCGACCCTCCCTGTGCCACCACAAAGGCCCTTTTAAGGGCCACCACAGCCCTCACAGAAGGAGCTGAGCCACGGCGGCGGTGTGCCGCCGCCCCACCCCCCAACCTTCCCCCTAATCCCCCGCCCGTGCAAGTTAGAGGGCCCGTTCCTGTTTTCCGCCGCCGCGGAGGTACCGTTGAACACCGTGCGGCAGGCCCTGGTCGTCTCCGGAGCTATGACTCAGCCGTCCTGCCTTCTGAGTGGCTGATGGGCTGCGGCACCTGGAAGGCCAGGCCTGCTGCTCTGACGTGGGGCTGAGGTGAGCGGCCGCGACCCCGGAAGGTGAGTCGCTGGCGGAGCCCCCTCAGATTCTTCTCCAGCTCGGTGCTTAGGTCGCGAACTCAGACATGGCTGTGGACTTCTTCCCTGGCTTTGGTGGAGACTTTGATCCTTAAATTTGTTCGGGCGTCCCCTTTGCTGCCTCCGTCTTAATTCTAGACCTGGGCGATGCGGCCAAGACAGATTCTGGAATGTGCACGCCTTCCCCCAGAGATGGGCTCCTCCCCAGGTGAAGCTGGGGAAGGTGGGGGGCGGCCGCGTGGACTGCAGGGCTCGTGCACGCGCGCGTGCACGCGCCCGCCCGCCCGCAGCTGACGGGCAGCGAAGCCTCCCTTCTCCAGCACCATCGCTCAACACCTTGATATATACCAGCACAAGCCGGTATCCTCTTCTGGACGCAGCCTCCGTGGGCTTCCGAACTGAAATTTAGCATCTAACCCATTTAAGAGTAGTACCTTAAGTATTGGGGAGTTTCAGATGGACTAACTTTGTTTATTAAAGATTTTTTTTTTTAATTGTTGTTTTTATTCTGCCCCAAAGTGTTGTAGGATTGATGATTTAGGATTATTCTCCTAAGGGTAAGTGTAGTGGGGAGACTGAGATATAAGACTCATTAACTGGAGAGAGCAAACTATAAGGTTTTTATTAGTAGAGCTGGTTACATTCAGACTTGGGCTCTGTAAGAGCTGAAGCCCCTAATGTATTGAGCAGGCAAGGCAGTCCCTGGAAGTCTGACCCTGCAGTTAAATTCCCTGGGGTAATCACTCCCCAGAGAGCAATGATAAGGGCACTGAGGGCTGGGATAAAGGCACTGGACAGTAGCAACCCAGGCACCTGTGCCCCACAGACCAGTTAGTGGGCATCATTAAGCTGCCGTGCAACGTCTAAAATGTTCTTGGCTCCTTTGTTCAGCAACAAGTTGGCCAGGCTGATGCCTAGGTTCTCAGCAGCCAGCTGGGCTACTCGTGGAATGTTCTGGGCAGTGATGCTCACCAGCTGAGGGTCATCTTCAGGGCCATCTTCGTGCTGGGTAAGGGAAGAAAGTAAGATTTGCTGAGTACAAAAGGGGAGATGAGGCAGACTTGTTTATTACCCTTCCCCTCACCCTCATCTTGGTACCTGGGCAGGAGCATGGATGGTGGCCTGCATGGTCTCTTGCATGCTATCTGAGCCATCCAGACTCCAGACTCCTCCCGTCAGGTACAGCTGGTAAAGAAAGAAAATTGCCTCAGCATATTATGAGAAGAAACTCTAAAAACCTGGACTCTCCTTGCTAGCAACTCAGGATGCACAGGGAGTACCACAGTTCTTTCCCTACTACCCTTCCACCGATCTTCCCTGCTTACTTGTCCATCCTTTATAGCTGTATGCACTGCTACTGGTACGCTGCAGCCTCCTTCCTGCAGTAAGAAGTTCTCCCTGTGAGCTCCAAAGACCCTTAACCACCCTGTGACAGGAGTCCTCAAAGATCCATAGGTCTGTGAGGACGTAACTGAAAAGGAGGCTAGGGGCCCAGACCTGGGTCCTCTTCATACACAACGTTCAAGAGTGGGTTACCACTAAATACAGAGCATTAACTTGAAAATCTCCCCACTGCCCTTTCAATTCCCTACCCCTCCACAGATGGAACACAGGCCCTACCAGGTGCTTCAGGAAGGCCCGTTCTGCTATGCAGCAAAGCAGAGTCTCAGGGTCATGTAACACACCCACCAGATCCAAGATGTCCTGATCGTTGGCTCGGACTTCCACGCCCAGGGCCCCCTGATGAAAGAATAGCTTAAGACATCAGGCCCAATTTTTTCCCAACCAATGGAGCAAAGGATGGGAACCAGCCCACCTCCACCGGCTCCCCAAGGTCTTTTGGTAGAGTAGTTTCCCAACACTCCCCTCCCTAGGAACAATTATGTTAGGGGAAGCAGATGCAAAGGTTCTGCTTCTTGGGTTTATCAATACATGGCTTCCTTGATCAAGCATACCTGACCCACAGCATACATGCATTCCTCAGGGTGCAGGATCTGTGGAGGTACAAAAGGCAGAAGCATGGAGATGGGACTAAATAAAGGCACACAACAGTGAAATGGGGCTTCCTTACATAGAAAGCCTGGAAGGGAAAAGAGGGAGTCTGGCCTTTGATCCCCAATCTTCCCAGGCTGGGACTCTTCCAGCTTGCAGTGTTAGAGGTGGGGTGGTCAAGAAAAGTACCATATTTTGCTTGTATATGTGTGTATTCATTATGTGTATATGTGTATATACATAAGTGCATAATGTGCACTGTTTTGCCCAAATTTTTGAGGGGAAAATAAGGATATGCATTATACATGGGTATAATGATTGCACACCATGGGGTATCATAATCCCATGCATAATGCACACAAAACATGGATGCACATTACATTCAGCAAAATATGGTATATAGGCACGTCCTGGCTGGCATTGCTCAGCTGAGCATCACCCTGCAAAGCGAAATTGCTGGCTTGATTTTTGGTCAGGGCATATGCCTGGGTTGCAGGCCTGGTCCCTGGCTAAGGCACTTGCAAGAGGCAACCTATTGATATTTCTGTCACACATCGATGTTTCTCTCACTCTCTTTTTCCCTCCCTTCCCCCTCTCTAAAAATAAGTAAAAAAATTTTTTAAGAGTATATAGGCAGGAAGGGGATAAAGATTAGCTGTGGAGGGAATAGGAGAAGCCCCTACCTGCCCTATTCGATTCTGCCAGCCCATGCGCTGCAGGCCAGCTGCAGCCAAGATGATGGCACTGAACTCCTGCAGCTCATCTAGCTTCTGCAGCCGTGTGTTGAGGTTTCCTCGCTGTGGAGAGATGCTAAGGACCATGAGCATTGTTCCCTCTGCCCGAAACACTCTCCATCTAGCTGGCTAACTTCTCATCTTTTGGTTTACAGCTTAATGGAAACAGGTAACACCTCATACCACATACCAGATACTATGCTAAAGTACTATTATTTAATTTTCACAGAAACTATGAGGTAGATTTTATTATCTACATTTTACAGATGAGGAAAATGATAAGAGAGCTAAAACACTTGTCCAAGATTACAAAGATCTCTAAAAAGCCTTCCTTGCCTCCAAAGTCTGTGTGTAGATGTTCCAATTAGAAGTTTCTCTACTTTACATATTGGAGCACTTAGCACACACTATTTTAGGTTTATAAAACATAGTACATATTCACTGTAAAAATCAAAACAATATGGAACATAAAATAAACATGGAAATACTCTTCATCCTCTTTATCACCCCCCAGAGTAATCACTGTTCAATATCATTCTGTATTATCAATGCCTGTTTGTCTCCCAAACCAAAATATAAACTCTATATGAGTAGGGACAATGCTGACCTTGCTCACCATTATCCTCAGTGCCAAGCTGAGAAAATATGGATGGATGGATGGATGGATAGATGGATGGATGGGAGAACAGAGAGCACACTGCCCCTACGGTCTACTTCCTCTGGAAGCCCCTTCCCCTTTCAGGACTCTTAGGACCCTCTGGACTTCATCTTCTACCTGGGCTGCTAGCTGCTGTCCCCTCCCTCTCCTAAAAGGATACAATACTCTTGAACTCCAGATGTGGAAACTTTCTCTGCAGCTGAGCTGCTCTCCGCAAGGAGCTGGTTCCCACCACACTGCTCAGAGAGAGGATTTAAAATGAGATTTAGCCCTAGGTAGGCATTGTTTCTTTCCTCCTTCCAACCCTCCACCTTCCATGCATTTCCCACCAAGGTGCCTACCCAGGCCCCACTTACCTCTTTTCTGGCAAGGTTTCTAGGGTCTTCCCAACAAATTTTGGGTGAAAAACAACAGCATCATAGGGGTTCTCTCGTCTAGGAGTGGAGGGAAGGTCATAGAACGAGAGATCTCAGTTAAGGTCACTTCTAGTTTCTCTTGATAGCCAACTAACTAGCATTTTCTGAGTTTTTCTGCCATGCTTAATACTCCTCAGGGCAAGGGAGACAGCTCTAGAGGGCAGAGGGCCAAGTCCCAAAAGGAAAAGCCAAGGTTAACATGCTGCCTATCCCCTCACCCCTAGCCCAGGCCCAGATTCAGAGGACACTTACTTGCAGATGGCTCCAATAGTGAAGCCCGGAGGAAGCACAGTGGGCAGGTCCTTCAAGGAGTGAACGACCAGGTCCACTCTAAAAGATAGGGTGGGGGCAAGGAGAAGGTCAGTTAAGGAACCAGGCCTCTCTGAGACCTCAGGACCCTGAGACCTGTTCCCTTTCACCCTACCCTCTTACCCTCCCCCAATCAAACTTGCACTCCAGGCAGCCAGATGGCTCAGGACCAGGACACTCTTCTTTTCTGACTCCTGAAAAACACATACGACTCCCCCTCGAGCCTATCCAAGGATTTAAGCCCAGCAACCTAGCTGTAGCACTCTGGGACCCTAGTAAGAGGCTGGGAGGGCCCACGTTCTCCTGTCTCTCACTTACTCATTCTTCTCTAATGCATGTTCCAGCTCCTTGGTAAATAGGCTCTTCTCTCCAATCTGGCATGTGAGAAAGAGCATCAGAAAGAATCTCTTGGGGTAAGGAAAGAGAAGGAGGACAAGGACTGGGGGAGAACTGTTACCTTAGAGAGTGCAGTATCAAGAATCCTGTCACCTGTGGTGGACATAGCAACTGAGGAGAGAGTCAACCAATCAATCATTGATCAGAATTTATTGAGCCCCTACTGAATCCAGTTCAGCACAGTTGCTAAGATTCAAGGTGGACACAAAGGCACATAAGCCCCAGTCCCTACCCTTTGGGAATGTACTATCTAGCAGGAATAACCGACACCCTCAAAAAAAGACCCAAAGCAGAATATATTCAATTCCAGGCTAGCCCAGGTAGAAGAGGAAAGGGCCCTCCAAACTGGGAAGAGCCAAGAATTCTTGGAGGCTATGGGACAAGGCTTTGGTCCTAAGCAAAGCCAGAAACACTGTGCTCACCCCTCCAGAGCAGTTAAGAGCTTCCCATTAGCTTTGATTCTTGTATGGAAAACTCACTGATTTCAAACTGCAGGCCTGGGTTTAAGGCTTTCAGCATTGCCACCACACTGTCCGTCTGTATGCGAGCCAGCTGGGGGCAAAAATTTGGATTAGTCTGTCCTTCCCTGGCCTCTGCTCTGAGCTGAGACACTCATAGGGTCAGGGCCATCCTGAAGGGGTTAAAATTCAGAGAAGGGGTTGAATGCCCACCTAGGAAGGAGAGGTGGTCCAGTTTGAGAGTCCTCGTTACCCCAACAACTTTCCCAGCCTAGAGACTATCTCTCCACAAAATGCAACCTGCCATTCGGCATAAAATTTAACACGCATCCACCCCATTTCTCCATCCCGAGCTGCTGGGAACTAACCCTTGGGGGCCCCCCAACTTAAAATACTGTGAGCACAGACTCTTCCAACAAACTTGCTCCACCCAGTACCTATAGACTCACCTGGCTCTTGCGGGTACCCACGCGAATCACTCTCATCTTTGGGCTGTTTTCTTCCTACAAAAAAAAAGAAATTCCTTGGGTCACAGTCCCCTCTGTTCCTTGTGTTCTTCAAGACCTTGTCCAAGAGCCAGAATCACTGGCTTGGAAGAAAGGAACCTCAGCCCCTGGACTATGGCAACCTGAGTCTTGGAGTAGGGAAATATCCCAAGGCTGGTCCCTTTACTTTCCTCAGTGCCTTCTCTCCTCCTCACAGACCCAGAGAAGCAGAGACCAGAGGAAAACAACAGTAGGATCTTCTATTGCTGCAATAACCAGGACACTGAGACGTTAAGCCCATCCTGGCAAAGGCAGTGGGAGTGCTGTACATAGCCAGGTGGGAAAAGAGATAAGGACTATCAGCCTGGGACAGGGAGGGTGGGGCCTGCAGCAGGCAGGGGCAGCTGGGGCCACACAGGGAAACTTACATGGAGACACTAAAGACAAGTTCAGCATCCACAAAAGAGCAGGCACTTAAGGAAGCTTCAGTGCCACCCAGGCCCAAGAACTACCACTATGAATCCCCTAATCTGATAGGATTGATACATAAAGGACCAGGGCCAACAGATTTGATGTATAGTCCTGTTCATTCTCTTGGTTGGGTGATCTTGAGTACATCATCCCTTAAGTACTTACTAGTTCATCTATAAAATGAAGAAGTTTGGACCCAAGTACCTTCTGCTTTTGATGTTATATAAGACTAAAAAGCATTCACCTACAGTGCTGCCTCTGGTTTCACTAATGAGATATTGGGACATCAAAAATCAAACCAAGAACTCAAAAAATTCTGCCTCCTTCCAGGACTAAGGTGTTCAGTGCCAAGCAGGGAGAACTAGGTTCTTCAATCTGAAGAAGGTCCTATTTCACTCTAGATCTGACAGTAGCCACTATACATATTTTCAACTTTCCCTGTTCTGGCATCTTAACCTCATGAAGCTCTTTTGCAGGCAGGCATCTGAGGCAGAGGTGACAGCTGGTTGCTCTTGGACTCCAGTCTATTCCATTGCTATCACTCCTCTAAAAAATAAACTCAGGGGGACCCTGAGTAAATTAGGCAAGACTTGGAAAGCTAAATATGGCCACTAAAATTCTGGGCTACAGGAAGAGTGCAGATGGCCTCTGGAAACTGCTAGGGTCAAGCAATCCCTTAATTCAGTTGCTTCTGCACAGCATATTCAAGTCAAATTGTTCCATTAAAAAATTACTTAGCACATATGTACTAGAGCTATCGCTTTTTTAATTTTCATAACCACCTAGCAGGTAGACAGGGCATGCATCTTTGGGTCCATGGTACAGAAGCAAAGGCTGGCTCTGAGGGGTGAAGTGGTTTGTCCAAGCTCACATCACTGTCTTTCTTACTCCTAGTGCAGTGCTAAGGAATGTCTGCAATGGCAAGAATCCCTCTTCTCACCAGCAGGCTGGGCAGGGGGAGATAAGCAGCTGCCCTATCTCTTTCTTGTCTTAAGCTGGCAGTGGCCTCCACCCAGCTCTATAGTTTGCATCTGCACCAGGCCAGAGCTTCCGCAGAGCAGGCTAGGAGTAGGAAGACCCAATGGTGGTCCCTTCTCCCACGATGGTAACCCAGTGCTGTTTCAGCTGGAGACTGATAGTAGGCTGGGGATGGGTGACTGCTAAAACGAAAAAGGGGAAGTAGGTGCACTTCCAAGATGTTTGTGTACAGTTCAAGACTTGGAGGTATGCTCTCCTCTCTGGATGCAAAGTGAAACATTGACCCAAAATGGGGAAATCCCACCTCAGCCCTGTTTCATGTGAAAAGATCTCGGGGAATAGCACCTTGTCTTCTGCAATTGAATTTCCTGGGCTGGGTCACTAAACCTACAGCCTTGGAAGCCAGCCCTGGAGGAATCCCACCCAGATCCCCACAAGAATGGGGGTTCCGTTGGAGACAATCCTTCCCCTTTTGACCCCCTCCGCACAGCTCAAGGATTTCCTCTACAAATACTTCCAAAGGGGACCTCAACTACTGGCCCTTTAAAAGCTATTCGGGCGGGGAGATAACAGATAGGAATTCCGACCAATAGGCGACAGGTGGTGGCAACCCAGGGCCAATCACTGCACCACTAGTCCGGAAAACCTAAGTTCCGAGAGTCACCGGTTGAGGACTCACCACCGTGGCGCCCGCATTGCCGTTACCGGACATGGCTGTGCTCGGAAAATAGGGCCTGCCGCAAGGATCCAGACTTCGGAAAGCCAGAAGTACCGGCTGGTGAGCACCTGGGCCTCAAAGGGGCCGAGCTTCTCCGGCACCCTGACTGTTCTGGGTCCGGCCTTATGTCACTTCCGGTGCCTGCCCTCAGAGGGGCGGTGTCTCCCTCTGGTTGGGAATTAAGGACGGTTGCCACAGAGACCTAACCTTTCGGTTCCGCCCCTACTCTGCTTGACTGAGCGAGACAGGGATTTCTCTGCCCTAGTCTTCCTAGTTGGGACCCAGGTCTATGACCTACTCATTTCTACTTTTCACCTAAGCCTCGTTCTGAGCCAGCAATACTGATGGCCAGTGGCTAAAATTGCTCCCGAGATTAACCCAGCTATTCCCCTTTGCAGTCCCCTCCTACCACTACCCAAATGGATGGTCAATTAAGCGGCAAGAGGAAAAGCGGACTGATAGTAGGCTGCATTTTACCCTAAACATTACCCTAGACATTAACCCTAAAATGCTGCATTGGAAGTAGAGGATCCTTGAGCAACTTACCATGCCCCTCTAGGCTGGACTCAACATCTACAAATGAGTGCTCTTGGAAAGCTCGTCAGCCAGAATTTTACAGCTTTATCTTTTAGCTATGGTACAAGTAGTGTAAGTGGTACTTCCTTTGCTCTGTTCAAATTTAAATTTAGCTCTGCTATAACCCTGAAATAAGAAACTTTTCTGTTTTTAAAATGAGGTTCAGAGATCAGAGATGATGCCTAAAGACAAGTAACTGTGAAGTGGGAGTGCCAAACATATGGAAAAAGAACTTGCTAGAAAAAGTGCCTTACCCACTGTTAATAACCTGTATTGAGCACCCATGTGCTAATCACTATACAAAGAACTGGATGAGTATCCCTTCATGTCATAGGCCTTTTAATAGCCATGAAACAAAGGTGTTATAATTCTTAATGTACAATGAAGGAAACTAAGGTTCAGAGAAATTAAGTGTATGTCTAACCAGGATTCAAACTCAGTTGATCCAATATCTTAGCCACTTCTAAATACTACCTATCCACAATGTCCAAGTTGTTTCCTTCAATTAACCCAATAGGAGCAATTTCCGACAGGCATCATAAACCCGTTACATGAAACACCAGCATCAAGAACTTCAGCTGACAACTTCAGAGAGGGGAAAAAATGTTTCAATAAAGGCCCTTTTATCCTGCTTATCATCTTATATTGAATACAGCAAAACAATAGCCTACTCATTATGAAGGTGGTAGACTTGGCTCAAGGCTCCCCATCAGAATCTGTGTCCTGCCTAAATACTTCATCCAAGAGCCATAGCATAGGCCAGACTAAAGAGCAGGAGCTGTTTGGGGGCCTCAGTCCAAGATGCTCTTGGAGCTCAGGCGTTAGGTCTTTTGCAGAGGTTCTTCAGTATACTGAACTCTACTAGATGCCATAGGTCCTACCCATTCCTGGAATGAGGTCAAATCAATCTTGCCTGGGTAGTGTGCCTCCGTTGGCTGGAGCACACGGTAACCAAAGGTCACTTGCTCCATTCCCAGTCAAGGCACATACCTAGGTTGTGAACGTGGGTTCAATCCCCAACTGGAGCGTGAGCAGGAGGCAACTGATTATGATGTTTCTCTCACAATGTTTCCTTCTCTCCACCTTCCCCTCTCTCTCTCTGGAACACACACACACACCCCTGCCCCCCCACTCTGACCTTTAAGGAGCTCTCTAAGGAAATGGAGCTCTAAGGATGCAGAGGGAGAGAAGTACATTCTATAGTTAAGAATCAGCAGCAAGTCCCCAGAGTAAATTTAACAATCCTAAAATCATTGTTATCATTTTATTTATAGACTCTGGGAGCAAGGACCCAAGCACAGGCTGGTGCTCCTGGATAGGGAATAAAGCAGCTATTGTCCATACTCAAGAGGTTACTGAGGTGCCATCCCCCACTGGTCTTGAATAATCTATGCTGTTCAAAAAGTCAACAGGAGAAACGGTGGACTGGCCAAAGAGAAGGCAGGGAAAAAATCTCCTTTACTCCTGAAGGCTGTGGCATCAAATCAGAGTGGAGTCCTGGACATGTCTGCCTGATTCCTGTAATCCTACTGTTGTGGATCCACCATCACACCCCTTCCACAAGCTGTTTAAGTGCCCCTTCTGGAATGCATGAGCAGGTCCCGCTGCAGCCCGGACTCCAGACTTCCAGTCAGCCTGGCTGTGGGAGGGTCAGTCAGCAGAGTCAATTTGTTGAAAACACCTCGACCAAAGTAGTCAGCAATCACAGAGAAGCTGTCATTGGAGCACTTGAGCTGCGTGGAAAGAGGAGAGTAGAATTAGAACTAAAGTGCTTGTTTCCTCAAATATGGGGGGGAAAAAAAGCCCTGCAGTGCTCCCCTAACTCTCTGTGAGTGGATACTCAACTACCCTACTCTTTCCCACCTGGTGCTGGAACTGATCATGGAGATCTCGTTTCTGTTCCTGGGCCCGGATCATATCCATGACCTTCCGGTTTTCAGGGAGGCAGGTGGGGCAGTCAGCATCACTTTCTGAGTAACTCTCAAAGCAGTGTTGGTGGAAGGAATGTCCACAGAGAAAGTGGACTGAGGGCAACTCCAAGGCACTGTTACAGATGCTGCACTTGGTCTTCTGGAAAATCTTCGGACTACAGGCAAGGGAGACCAGAAAGGAGTGGCAAACAGTGAGGGCAGGGCCAACAGCCAAGTGAAGAGAAGGCAGCTGGGGTCAATAAGTAGGGAGAGATCCAAGACCCTTCTCTTCTTACCACCTAAAAAAGGTCAGAAGAGGACAACAGCGCTGGGCCTACAGTGAGTCTCAGAATGCTCCCAGAAAGCCCTATTACCCCAGAGGGATACTTTTCTCTTTAAGTTTTCACAACTGCCATAAAATTGTCTTCCTGGTTTTCACTTAAATTTGACCCTTTCAGACAGGCCTTTCCTGAATATCTTGTAAATTCTCTCTCACACACACACTCCTCACCCTATACCCCTCAATTAATTTTCCCCTTAGAACTTATCACCATCTAACATACTACATTTTGCTTATTTAACATGTTTACTGTCTGTCTCCACCTCTACAATGTAAGAACAGTGCTTGGGACACAATAAGGGCCCAGTAAATGTTTGTGAAATTGTTCTCTAATAATAAATACTTTACAATGTTAAGGGCAGAAAAGACTTAAGAGTAAGCAGTAATGTCTACTATACGTTTACATCAATTTTCCACTTTTTGTATTTTCTAAAGCAAATTTTTTACTTCTGAATGGCTTATAACTGCACAACTTAGATGTATGTTTAGAAAATATAAAATCTAGGCATACCCAGAGATAAAAGTATCTGTCCTAGATAATACCCTCTGAAATCCAATTAATAATAATGTATGTAATAAACCCTTCTTTGGAGTTTCTCCATTAAAACAAATCTTCAAGCATAAAATGCTCAAACACACTCAATATAATCTTTTGTCTTTGAAACTATTTAATGGCAGAGAACAAGGTTATCCTCTGGACATCTCCACTTATACAGATGCCAAGTACCTTGCCTTGAGCTCCTGAATCTCCTGGCGGATGCGGGTGGTCTCCTCGCGGTACCGTCGCACCCGGAGCTCATCCTGTGCAATCTGCTGGCTCTGTTTCTGCAATTTTTGGACCAGGTAGTCCCGGATGACAGACAGGGTGGCTGTGGAGTTGTGGGCCAGGGTCTGCACCACTATTAGGGTCCAGGAGGAAACCAAACAATGAACCAAGAAGTACCCTCTGGACAGAGTTGAAGAGCTCTTGCCCCAGAACCCCCAATTTTTAGCAGCTAACACCTACTCACCCACCCTGTCCTTCCAAGTACCTAGAAGGGGTGGCATAAGGTTCTTGTTCTCAATATGCTTGAGCACAGCTGCCACATACTCCTTGCAGTCTTCCTCCTTGCGGGCAAAGTAGCTGAGCGCCTGTTCCCACAGGGAGGGTTCCTGCTCCCCATGGCGCTCACACACAGCAATCACCTGCCGGTACTGCTCATGCTGCATGTGGTAGTGCATAATCTGCTGATACCTAATGCCAAGGCAAGGCACACCTCAGTGGCTGCTGTTGGAAAATTACTTGGATGCTTCCCCCCTTCCCTGAAATCCCCGAAACCCTTACAGCTTCCCCTGCTCATAGAGGTAAAGGACCCCATCCTGGAAGTCATGCATCTGGCAGAGGACCAGGGCCTTGTCAAAGACGTCACAGAAGCGGCCACTCTTCAGGAGGGAGACAGCCTCTGCATGAAGCTTCTCTTTGACCTAGGGAGGGAGGAGAGTAGAACTGCTGGACAGAAAAGAAACAATCAAAAGGCCTCCTGGGACAAGGCAGGTTAACTATCTCTTCCCTTCAATCCAATTTCGTCTTCATTAAGGACCATTTAGCTACCAACCGTGAGGTGTTATTGGTCTACAGAAGGCAGCAAAAAGCAACTATAAAAGATAGAAAAACTAACTGTCCTCCAGCACCTCCTGTAGCTTTTGCCAGGCCTCACCTGTGGATCCTTTTCATGGGCCCAGTTCTGTAGTCGTAATTCAAGGAGTGTGTCATAGACGCCCTGTGGTGAGTTGGGCTGCACTGTACTCATGTGCTCTAGGAAAGCTTTCAGCTCTCGTGGATTGTTGGCAAAGATGGGGATAAACTCCTCTGAGTTGGCCTAAGATGGCAAGGGAAAAGAGAAGAGGCCACAGAAGAGGGCCTGGTACCCATGAGGCCCCTAAGGTGATCCCTGCTGCCCAACAGCCATTTTCCCCGAGGCCTCACCTTGCAGACTGGAGCTTCCCTGTCACCTCGGCCTTCAGGGCTGGGCTGATAGTCAGTACAAAGTCCCTTCAGCAACTGAGTCATCTGCTCTGGTATATGGTGCATGAGGATCTTGCCATAGCGCTTCATGTTGCTCTCTGCCTGCTCAAAAGGCAGTTTGCCAATGTATCTAAGGGCTTCCTGATAGTTCTGTGAAGAGGTAAAGAACAGAATAAAAGTGCATGCTCCTGTCTCACCCACCAGGAAGCACTATCATTATTCCAGGATGTCCTAAAAAAAGAACAGAACTCTGAGTCAAGAGTCTCCTCTATCTTGCCCTGGCTGGTGTGGCTCAGTGGATTAAGCGCCAGCCTGTGAACCAAAGTGTCGCCAGTTCAATTCCCAGTCCAGGGCACATGCTTGGCTTGTAGGCCAGGTCCCCAGTAGGGGGCGTGCGAGAGACAACCATACACTGATGTTTCCCTCTCCCTCCCTTCCCCTCTCTAAAAATAAACAAACAAAATCTTTAAAAGAAAAAAAAAAAAAAAGAGGGTCTCCTCTACCTTGATGTCCTCTAGCTGGATCTTCAAGTACCACTCATGATGTGCATGATTCTCGGCCAAATAGAGGGCTTGGGAGTAGTAGCCAGCCTGTCGGAGGACCTTGATGGCTGTCTCCACATCAAAGTGGACTTCACTCTCACTCTTTGTCTGCCGGGAAACATATGACAAAATCATTCACAGGTTGTGGTTAGGTAAGGGAGAGAAAACATGCAGCTGATTCTAAGACCACATTGTTAAGATAATAATGAAGTCCATACTCTTAAAGTATTATGTTATCCTACCTCTCAGAAAGCTTCTGAGAGCCAAAGTCTTCCTCCACCTCTACTATTTAGAAGGACTCCTCTGAGGACAAAGAGCTAACCAAACGCTACTTCCCTGGGCTTGGATACCACAGGAAGTTCAGGCATCATAAAACAAGAGGGGAGATGTGAGAGAACTAGTGGGAAAGGCTATTCCATTTTCCAGTTTATAGACCAAAGGGTCAGGGTCCCCAAATAAGGTCAGCTCTTTCTCTACATCCTGCTGAAGGGCAAGCCCTGGTGGAGCTGCCTCAAGGAATAACCACCCCACCACCACCATCACCCTGCACCTTGATGAACTCCTCCAGCTTCAAGCTATCCTTGAGTTTGGTATAGCAGTTGAGCAGCAGGGTGGTGTGGTCGGCATTGGCCAAAGACTGTCGATGCAAAGTCTGCAGGTAGGCAGTCAGGTTGTGGATACGCTGGGCATCCAGAAACTTACGGATCACATATGATGGCTCCAACTTTCCAATGGTTCTAGGAAGATATGTGCATAAAGAAACATCTAGATCAGTGTACTTTTCAAACCGCCACGTGCACAGGAATCACTTACAGTTCTTGAAATGCGAATTGTTTTAGTAGGTGTGGACTCAGGCCTGCAAGCCTGCATTTCTAACAAAGTCCCAGGTGATATTGATACTGCTAGACTGTGGACCACATGAATAGCAAGCCTCCAGGGAACTGGGTTTTTGTTGTTCTGTTTTTTTAAATTTTTATTTATTGATTTTAGGGAAAGAAACATCAATTTGTTGTTCCACTCATTCATGCATTCATTGACTGACTCTTGTATGTGCCCTGACCAGGGATCAAAATCCACAACCTTAGTGTATTGAGATGATGTTCTAAGCAACTGGGCTACCAGGCCAGGGCCAGAAAACTGGTTCTTAAAGTTGGCTGAAAACAGGAATTCTAGAGAGTTGGGAAAAAAGCTAAAAAGGTTCCTAAAGTTCCAAGAATTAATACCAAAAAAAGAAAGTGCTGAAGTATTAGGTCAAAATGAATAACAGGGGTCAAACTATAAAGTTTAAACTAATGGGTATTCATCAGCTCAACTGCATACTGGTCATCAATATGTGATCCTGAACATTCTCTCTCCAAAAAGGTATATTGTCTCACTCAAGGCATCACAGTTTCTGCAGGGAAAAAAGGAAGGTTGCTGGTGGAGTCCACTCCCTTCCCCAAGCATAGGTTTTAGCCTATCTGGCTGTGTGTCTCTGCATTAAGAGCTGCATACTCAAGCACCACCATACTAACCGGATATACTGCTGGACAGCCCCATCATGGTTGCCCTTGCTGTAGAGATGGTCCCCATACTGCATGAAGATCTGGGCCAATCCATCACTGTCCAGGTGCTGGCTCTTGGCCAGGTTAATTGCCATCTCAAATAGGTTCTTCTTAAACAGCATCTGGAAAGAAAGAGATTAGAAAATTGGTAGATGAAGTCCTGGGGAGACACATTCCCAGAATGAACCCACAACATGCCAGACAGTCCTAAAGTTTCAATCTGCCTAAATATTAGACAGGTCGAGACCTCTCAGATACTCTCAAGACCAACATCACCTTACCTTCTAGGGTTCTCTGCAGACAGAGTGGACCCAGAAAGTGGGCTCTGGCTCCCAGCCATTACTTCCCTCTAAGGCCTCATCCCAGATCATTTACCTTGTAACTCTACTCTAAGGTAGCTGAGTAGGGCTGTGACCCAAAGGAAAGGATACACTCTGGCCAAGGTGACTTGGGGAGCCTTTTCCTACAGTTGTCTTAGTGCCTGTGGCCAGGTCTGGGAACCTGGTGGCCTTGCCTCCAGTTTGGTCTGTGTGTCCTTCTCTTGCAGTGCGTGGACCCGCCCATCCCGCGTCAGCACGTACAGAGAGCCCCACTCAGCAAGCACATCCACTATATCCTCAAAGACAGCGCTATAGGCTATGAACTTGTTACACAAGTCATAGATGTTGAGAATCTGCTTGTCAGAGCTCTGTGGGTCCCTGCTGGTAAACTCTGACCTGTATGGGAGAAAAAAAAAGCACCAGATATTTGTACCCTCTCTGCCTCAGCTTCCCCTTCATTTCTTTTCCAGTGACGACTTTGGAGCTGCCCATTTCACCCAGGACAAATCACCTCTTGGCCCCTCTAGAAGCTCATCCCATAAAATGCAGCATTGTGCTGACAGTTGTAGAAAAAGAACATATAGACCTGATCTTATCCTGTAAGATCCTACAACTAACATAGGTAAGAGTAAAAAATTAAGTACATTCAAATACCCATTCATTTAACAAATAATCAGTGCCTGGTGTGTGCAAAACAGTGTAAAAACAAGCTAACACCTGACAGTGATTACTTCCATCATGCAGAAGACCCAACCACCTCTTTCAGGTGGCTCAGAAGAAAAATACTGTGTCCTACACTTCACAATTTCTCTACTACTCAATCCCTTGTTCCTCTGCCCCAATTTATTTTGACTAAAGAGTGAAAAAAAACCAATACCAGGTCCAAAATTCCCTGGAATGTTCTAGTGCATCAGGGCTGCTCAACAAATGTCTGCAGCAAAGCAGATTTTTCAGTAAAGACGTTATAATTGAGTCTACGTGTAAGCATAATCTACATAAAACCAAAGTAGAAGACTGAGAGGATCTAGGCATTAGGGTTTTAAAATCAGATTATTTTGTGGGGAACAAGTCCAGCCCTCTCCCTTTCCCTTTCCCTGAGAGTCCTTACTTGGGAGAAACCTTCCGGTCACGAGAGACAATGACAAGGTAGCCTCTAAACCAGTGAGCAATGAGTTTATGGCCCTCAAAGGCAAAGCAGGGCCCACGTTCATCAGGCTGGTACAAGTAGACACACTCATCCCCGGCCACTATGAACTGTAAGTCCTGAGAAGGGTCACTTAGGGCTGAGCAGCGTAGACCACAACCATGAGTATCCAACTCCACACGAGGGTAGTCCTTTCCAGAAACTATATAGGACTGGAAGAAATAAGAAAGGGTTATCAGGCTCCCTCTGAGGAGGTAGTATCTAAGACTTCCCAAAAGTATTCCCGTCTCCATATTAACTCTCTTTTTAATTCTTAGAATCTTAAGACTTTCCAGGCCGCTTGCCTTCTCCATTAATCATCCTCCATCTCCTAAATACATAAGTAGGGACCACAATTCTCTCCTTTGTATATACTATCAATACCTACTACAGGAATTCTGCAAGTAGGAGAAATGCAATAATCTCATACTATTTTATAAAAAGACTATTCTCGAGAGTAGGCTGTTATAAATTAGGAGCAATGAGAACAAGAGAAGTAAAGCAACTTGTCCAACGTCACTAAACAAGTTAGGAAAAAATTCAGGTCTTTTACTACAAGCCCAGTTCTCTTCCTAATTCAACTCTTCCCCACCTCCTAAGTGATGAAAAATATTAAGCTGAGCAAATGATTCAAGGCTACATGACGAAAAATGTTAGAATTCTACCTCTCTTACCAGTTCCTTAAGCTAGCTCCCTAAGCAGAAAGAAGCCTTCTTGCTCACCCCTAACAGTGGAGGTCCTAGTTATACCTGAACGTTCTCCGTTGTCACAACAAACAAGTGAGTCGTCTTTCCCGCTTGGCGGAAGGCCAGTCCAGTAACAGGATAGTTGCCCTTGTGCAAAATCTGGGTCTTGCTATGCCGGTCCCGAGTGATGTCTCCTTTGTTCAATGTAACACTGCCATCTGTGAAACCTGTACAAGAGCAGGGAACAGCACTTAACAGAAGCTGAAAGACCTGGAAGCACAAAGGGGAAATGGCCATTTGAAGCATTCATTTGAAGTGACAAGATTTCCCCTCATACACAACTTCTCCAATGGTTAATATGAAGATAGGTACTCTCTGACTCATTTTCAAAGAACGAAACTATATCTAATTCCAAACTTAATAACCCTGAAAAAATGGTCTCATGAAAACAATGATGATGAGCTGAAGAAGCAACTCTGAGGAAAATCTATAAAGAATCCTGGAGCTATCCTGACTGGTGTAGCTCAGTGAACTGAGCGTCGGCCTGCAAACCAAAAGGTTGCCAGTTGAATGCCAGTCAGGGCACATGCCTGGGTTGCAAGCTGGGTCCCCAGTTGGGGGTGTTTGAGAGGCTACTGATCAATGTTTCTCTCGCACATCGATGTTTCTCTCTCCTTCTAAAAATAACCATGGGGGGAAAAAATGAATCCTGGAGCTTTAGCTTTCTCTTTTTTAAAAAATGGATTTTATTTATTTATTTTTAAAGAGAGGGGAAGGGCAGGAGAGAGGGACAGAAACATCGATGTATGAGAGAAACATTGATCGGTAGCCTCTTGTGCGCCCCCAGTTGGGGACCCGGCCCACAACCCAGGCATGTGCCCTGACTGGGAATCAAATCGGCGACCTTCCAGTTTGCATGCCCGCACTCAGTCCACTGAGCCACACCAGCCAGGGTGCTTTGCCTTCTTTCTGCTTACCAATGGCCATAAAGTTGAGATTTTCATGGACAGTTAAACAAGATACAACAGTTGGCTCCGTTCCTGGAATGGCAGGGAAGATTCGAGTACAGAGTGGATTGCCACCATCTCTCTTCTCCAGGTTCCAGATCTTTACCTGTGAGCAGACCTCACATGGGTGAATGCCAGTCACCCTCCAACAACCAACCCTTCCCAGGCTTCTGGTCTTTACTATTACCTTTCAAGGACTCACCAGGGGATTGATGCCCTGTTCATCCTCACCTACAGATGCCAGAATGTTGTGCTGCTTCAGCTGGTACAGGTGTGTCACCCGTAGTTTGTAGGCTTGGAAGCCCATAAGCTGTAGGGAGCGGGGCAAGAACCAGATCTGGCCTTCCATATGTGTAGAGTAGTCAAGGAGCCTCCTTTCCAAGGAGAGATACACTTACTCAGACCAGAACCCAGATAAAAACATACATACTGCTCTTTAAATTTTGCACGCATTTTCCCACACATTATTTCCTGGGACTCCCTATTTTAAAACAAACGAATAAAAAAGTCCAGGGTTTAGAGGCAACAACATGAAAAACAAAGCAGCAAACTCCTGGTTTCATTTACTTTGTCACCACAATATTGGGCAGGCGAGAGAATGACACTTTTAAAGGCAGCTTGCATCCTTTGATTGATCTTAAAATACCCCTACTACAAACTGATATTTAATTATACTCCTTTTACAGATAAGAAAACTGAAGCCGGGAGAAGTTAAATGATTTGTCCAAAATTACCTAGTTGGCAACAGGTTAGAGAACGGACTTCTTTCTCCCCTCAGGCCCAGTGGGCGCCCGTCTAAAAGACAGCGGCACGTAGCACGAACCCCTGTGACGGCAAGATTTCATCCCCGCTGTAACTCTTCAGGGATCCGGGAAAGGAAGAGACAGTTTCAGAGGAAGGATATCTCCGAAGACTAGGCTCCCTCGGCCTGAGTCGCAGACAGTGATGCCAGGAGGGAGGCAAAGGAACTTGGAAGCAGCTGGTCCAGAAGTAGGCACGGCCCCGGGAGCGGGACCATCATTGCCCAAAGGTTCCTTAACCAGCTCCTTGTCGAAGAAAACAAACCGCCGCCACTGCAGGTAAGCCGCCATCTTGGTCAAACGCCCCAAGCTGCTCTGAGAAAGGTCACGTGAGAAGCTCCTGCGGGTCACGTGATTCAACAGCTTCCTGGAACCTGGCTGCACCGGCGCTCTCCAGCAGGGGGGCCGATTTCCGGTTGCTGGTAGAGTGGGCGGGGCCGAGTGAGACAAGGCTTCCCGCCCACGACTGGAAACGGAGCTCGGGAATTTGCGGTGTGAAACCGAGCTGGCTAAAGTGTTTTCAGGAGCTGGGCCCTTCATCTCTTTGAACATCAGTTTCCTTCTTTTTTCAATATACAGGCATTGAAGGATCAAGGTGAGGAATGTCACGCGCTTTGAGGACTGTTATGAAGCATAAATGAACCAGTATGTATGAAAACTGGTTTTTCAACTGTCGGAGAGAAGTAAAATAAGAACTTTGTGTCTGCCTCCAGCTACGGACTGTGAACCACAGTCAGTATCTTATATTTGTTTTCGTGTCCCTTTTAGAGTGTGTGCCTCGTAATAGATACTTAAAATATGTTTCTAAAACAATCTGGGAAATATCGATGGGGCGGGAACTCCCAAGAATCTGGGTTTTTTCCCACCTTTCAAAAGCGGCAAGGTATGGGACATAAATACAACACAGCAGAAAGCCTGGAAAGTGGCAGTTCTCAGAGCTGAATGATTTAACAAGTGGTAAGTGTCTAAGCTATTCCGGGGCCATCCACAATCCCCAACTATGGCAAAATCAACTTGTCCACGCAGAAAACTGTAGGTGTATTGTTGGTGTATCACAAGGAGCTACGTACAAAAATGACATAGTCATTTTGAGAATATGTACCTGCAAAAAAGTGGCCATGTGGTTATTTGTGAAGTTTATTTTTGTGCGCGCACACACTGCTTTTTAGTTTTAGAATATTTTACTCTTTATTTCCCCCAGCCCAAGTTCCCAAAGAGCAGGGGCTCTGTCTTATTTACCATGAACCACGTATAACAGAGCCTGGTAAGTGCTCCGTGTCTGTCTGAAGGGATGAATGTGGACGATTTTCCTCTTAACCCCTCCGCTCCCCAATCTGGCTCACAGGAAAGGTAGTGTCCATTTGTCTAAAGAGCTAAATGAGGGGAACAAATTGGCCACCACCAGCCATACAGATTTCCTAATTTCCATTCCATCGTAGATTTCTTTCCTCTGTCACGCGGGTATTGGAGCTGTTTCAGGCTCTCAACCCATAGGCAGAAAGCACAGATGGGGAATAGATTGGACCCATTTTCACCCACTGAACATATTTTGTACTACTCATTAGAATTGTTAGATAGTATTCAGTTGTTAAGACTATGACTATGTTAAAAGGAGCAATATGAAAACAGCCTTGAACAGCAGTGTGGCATCTTTTTTGGTGACTTGGGTGCCCCCTCTCCTGTTCAGTGGCCGGGACCCAGAGCCTTCCTTTGATGTATGAACCTGGTAAGGCCTGTGCCCATTGATGAGGGTACAAAACAAAGACTGACCTTCCAGAATGACTCACATCTCTTCAGATCTACTGTCTTCCTTCCTTTCCTCCTTTGATAAATGTGTACTGAGTACACACTATTGCTGGAATTGTATGAAATGCTGAGAATATAAACGTGAACAAGACACGGTCCTTGCCCGTTAGGGAGCTCAACCACTGCCAGAAAGGGCAGACATAAAACGGACTGACAGTAACCAGCCCATAATTTAATGTAGTGAATTATATCTAACAGAGTGCTTTCACTTTTTGCGGACTCTTCGTAGGAACCATCTGCAGAAGTAATATTGTCTTTGATGAGAAGTGGAATCTCAGAGAGGTTCAAGTGACTCTGGGCAAAAACATCAAAGTTCTTTGGAAACAAAACAACAGTTCTTTAGTTCCTTAACCTTTCATTGGTTTGCTCATATGTGAAGCTGGGCTGTACTTGTCAGAACATACACCGGGGTTTCTCTTTTAGTTATACTTGTCTGAATCCAGGAACTTAGGAGAGTGAGGAAGATAAGCAGGCAAACTGCACAGAAAATGATTATGTGGACAGGTTCACTTAAAGCTCTGCATACTAAGAACTCAAATTCTGAAGGGACTAAAGATATAGAGGCAATTCAGATCTTCAGCTTGAAATTAGAAATCACAACTCAGAATCAAGAATTGCCTAGCAATCCCTTCTTTTCCCTTCAGCAAATTGGTCCCTCATGATGTACAACAGTTGTATCCGCTGGAGCACTTCTTGTTCCAGCTGCAAACTTTTATTTTCTATCAGTATTTTTTTTTCTCGTTTGGCTCTCTGGGGAGAAACCATTTTCTACAATACTTAAAAGTCTGGGTTTTCTCTCTTAGCTCCTCAAAAGGGTAACAGTAGTTTCCACTCTAGGAGCAAGATCAACCTAAAGTAAACTCAGGTTTTATAGCATGAGAGCCCAGGGTCCCAAGGCTACAGTGAAAAAGGAAAAACAATTTGCTGGTTTTTGATTGTGAAAATCTGGCCTATGAAATAAATTTTATAGGAAATAAATTTCCCATGAACTTGGCAAAGCATTGAACTGAGCTTTTAACACTGTAATTCTGCCTTTTAGTTTTACTTGTCTAGACTAGTAACAAAAACGATGTTAATTAATGTGTATTTAGTGCTTAGGATGTCCCATGCATTGTGCTAAGCACGTTACCCTCTTCTATAATTTTTACACCAACCCTGTGAAGAAGTACCAGCATACCTCTATTAATGATGTGGAAACTGAGACTCAGGAAAGCTAAACAACTTGCCTGGAGGCACATAGGCAGGAAGTGGTGGAGTTCTTAGACAAATCCATGCCTGTCAAACTCCAAAGCCCTGTATTCTGGGTGCTCAATTTAATTTTTTTTAGACCACTCGAATCCATAAATGTGTTATAAGTCTGGATGATTTTCCATGATCACGAAGTCACAGAATTTTCAAGAACCCTAAAAGTCTTGCTTTCTCTTTTGGACACATAATCATCCCCATCTCAATGCAAGCTGGGAAATGTTACCAATCCTTTGGCTCTTCACCCCTCACCCATATCCTATTCAAATTCATATCAAGACTTTTTAAATGTCCTAAAATATTCTAGTGTTATAAAAGATACAGGGGCTGTCACACTGCTGTTGGGGAGTGTATATTGGTAAACCTTTCTGGATGGCAATTTGGCAATGTCTAAAAAATGAATTAAGCCTTTATTTTTACTTGTAGAATTGTATTCTAAGTAGGCTATAAGGGATTGATCTGCATAAAGATTTATCAGTGAAGGTATTTGTTGCAATTTTATAATAGCAAGAAGAAACAACCAGTTGAAGAGCAATTCGGTAAGTAAATTATTGTACTTTTCTATGCTACAATTCCATAAATATAGCCACTGAAAAATTCTATATAGGAAAAATATGATATAGCAAAATTTTTGCAATAAATTTAATGAAAAACAGTCACAAAGTATTATCTCCATAAAAGTTTAAAGTGTGTGTGAATTGATTACATCATAATGCTAAAAGCGATTTAATCTAGAAAATGGAATTCTGGGTGTTTTTTAATTTTATTCTTTTTTCTTTCTCTATGTTCTTCCAGTTTTCTTCAATAACCACATATTTCTTTTGTAATTCTAAAAACGTTGTAGGAAGTAAGAAAAAAACTTATCCTGGTGCAGTTTCTCTCCTGCTAAAAATGGGGTTTCCCGCGAGCTAAGTTTACAGCAAAATCACACATACAAAATAGATTTTAAAAATTTTTATTGAAGTATAACAGTCATACAGAAAAGCCTACATACTACAGGCCGCAGAATTTTCACAAAGCCCTGGCAACCAGCACTGTAAACTGAGCACTGCCAACACCCCAGACGCCTGCCTTATGCCTGTTTCTACCCACGAAGGTAAGGCACTATCCCAATTTGTCACTAGAGCTTAGTTTTGAGTGTTTTTAAACTTTATGTAAGTAAAACATAAAGTATGTACCCCTTGGCTCCTGGGATTCATTTAAGTTATCAAATGTAATTGTAGACCATTCATTTTCATTGCTACATAGAATTCCATTGTGTGAATCTATTGCAACTTGTCCATCCAACTCTTGGTGGGCACTTGGTGGGTTAGTATTAAATTTTGGCCATTATGAGTAAAGCTGTTACAGTCTCTTGATAAACATATGTATACATTCTACAGATATAAATCTAAGAATGAGGCTGCTGGGTGACAACCAATGTTTTATTTTTATTTTTCAAGATTTAATTAACTTTTTTTAGAGAGAGGGGAAGAGAGGAAGAGAGGGAGAGAAACATCATTGTGTGAGAGAAACATTCATCATTTGGTTGCCTCTTGCAGGCCTCCAGCCAGAGACCTGGCCCACAACCCAGATATGTGTACAGATGGGGAATCAAAGAGGTGACCTTTTGGTGTTTTGGTTTGCGGAACAATGGCCAACCCACTTCGCCACACCAGTCAGGGCAACATTTTCCCATTTTTTACAACTTGTTTTTGTGAAATGCTGTTCTCTTCTCTGGTCAGAAACAAAACAGGTGACTGCCAGGAGCTTCTGCACCTGCTGCACCTCCTATGGGGACAGATACATAGGTCAAAGCTGTAGCTGCAGCAAAACTATGCTCCCACCAAGATTATTTCAGGATGAGAGCTCACTAGGAGTGGGGAGACTAACTTTCATAGTCTCCCAATTTGCAGCCATTCAATAGGTCTTTAATACATGCATGAAACCATTAATGTACAGAATTTGTTTCTGGACAGACTGACTTCTCTGAAGGAAAGGGCAAGGTCATCCCCATCTCTGGAACCCCAGCACTTAGAGCAGTGCTTGCATATGACAGAGGCTCAGTAAGTGTTAAAGTGCATACTCTGGCCCTGGCTGGTGTGGCTCAGTGGACTGAGCACCAGCCTGCAAGCCAAAAGGTTGCCTGTTCAATTCCCAGTCAGGGCACATGCCTGGGTTGTGGGCAGGTCCCTAGTTGGGGGAATGGGAGAGGCAACGATCAATGTTTCTTTCACACATGACTGTTTCTCTTCCTTTCTTTCTCCCTGCCCCCTTCTCCTCTCTCTGAAAATAAATAAATAAAATCTTTTTTAAAATGCATACTCTAAAGTGGATGGGGAAAAAAACCTACCCTACAGGACAGGTGGTCAAAAGTAGACTGTCATTGAGAAACAAAGTCTTTCTCTGTGGAACTGAAATGACAACTTATGTGTCCATCATTATAGATAAACAACACCCATGCTATAGAATGCTCTACAGCCATAAACAGCAATGACGTGAATCTTTACAAAGATATGGAAAACACTCCATGATTTATTATGTTACCCGTCCCCCCCAAAAAAGGGCAAGTTGCGAACAATCTAATTACATAATACTTTATCATTTATAAAAAGGCAATAACTACATGTTTCAAGAAACATATGACTCTGGCTGGGTTGCTCAGTTGGTTAGAGCATCGTTCCCAGGTTGTGGGTTCCATCCCAGGTGAGGGCACATACAAGAATCAACCAATGAATAAACAGGTTGAGCAACAGATTGGTATTTCTTCTGTTCTCTCTAAAATCAACCAATAAAAAAAAAAAAAGACATACAAGGTCTGACTAGAGAAAGTCCAATTATTGTTAACAAGAATGGTATGCACATTGATGTAACGTGGCAGCCAAAGAGAGTAAACTGGAATGCACATGTATGAACAATGACAACGTCACTGTACCAGTCAGTGGGGGAGGTAGACGCCCTTGAGTGAGCGTGTATATTGTGTGACCATCACATTCAAAATGACTGAGCAAGTAAAGCCATGAACCTACATCAAATTCTGCCTTAAGCTTGAACATTCCTCTATGGAAACAGTTTGGATGATTCAGAAGGCTGCAGCTTTGGGCAACTGGTGACTGCTAGCTTTATCACAACAATGCGCCCACTCATGCATCACATCTCTTGCAGAGTTTTTTTTTTTGCAAAACAGCAAATCACCTAGGTGACGCAGTTCCCCTACCGCCCAGATTTGGCACCCTGGGACTTCTGGCTGTTCCCAAAACTAAAATCACCTTTGAAAAGGAGGAGATTTCAGGCCATTGATGAGATTCAGGAAAATACAAAGGGGCACCTGGTGGCGATTGGGAGAACTGTGTGAGATCCCAAGGTGGCTACTTTGAAGGAGACTGAGGTGTCATTGTCCTATGAACAATGTTTCTTGTATTTTATACCTTCTTCAATAAATGTCTATATTTTTCATACTGCATAGCTTGATATCTTCTGGACAGACCTCGGATATGTATGTTAAAGCAAAGGAAAAGACCTGGAACATTACACACTACACTGTTAACAGATACGCACCTCCGGAGGGGAGAGAGGTTGAGGATGGTATCAAAGGGATTTAGCTTTATCTAGAATATTTGAATTCTTCAAGGTTATATTTGTGTAACTAAATTCTGTTAAAATTTTAAGTTAATTTCTCATTTCTAGCAATTTCTCTTTTACCTGAAGACTGCATTATTTTTAAACGAAGAAAAATAGACCTCTCTCTCCCTAGTACTGCCAGTATGTTTATCTTCTAAGCCTGGACACCTGACTAAATTCTTTCCATAAGCATTATAAGAAATGTAGGGAAAGGAACAAGTATAAGTTCCTTAAACAAGTACTGGCCGTCACAGCCGAGTTCTTCAATAGCGTTTCTGTGAAAGAAGGCCAGGCGTCAACACTGGAAAAGAGAAAAAGGGCGATTCATTTCCACATTTAAGAATAACGCACTCATCTCATATAAAACTGGAAAAAAATGTGCGCTCGCCAAGGACTGTGCACATTTCGCTGAGGCTGTAAGGGTCAGAGAAAAGAGTGAGGACCACCAAACACCTGCCCAGGTGCTTTGAAGTACAAGATTTAATGAAACAGAAACATGAAGTGGTGCGTATATGCTCAACCAATTACAGCCTCACAAGTAAGTGTCTCGTGGGTAGTGCTTTGCAGTTTAAAATATCTTTCCTTACAAATGGGGCTTAGGCCAAATTCTGCCACTAATACAAGTGTCATCTACAAGCTATCAGCGAAAATCTCTTGGTGGTGTCGTCCCCCCCCCCCACCTCCCCCGCCCCCCGTGAAACACAGGAAATAGGAATGGATTAAGCCTGAGGCGCAGCCGTTCTCTGAGGTCTATCCAAAGCCCAGGGGAGTTCAATATCAACAAGTAGGCGAGCGCTTGGTGCAGCTAAGGAACAGATGCTGGTCTTTCCCAACTCTTCAGCAGGGACTACCCAGATGACCGGAAGAAGAGGGTTCACCCGTTCCAGGCACCCTCACTCCCTACCTCTCCAGTGAGGTATCCGGCACCGCACTCGGAAAGGTCCCGCGAGCGCACCGGGGCGGGCGCTTGGCCCCGTGACGCAGCCCCATCCTCCACAGGCCCCGGCGGTTTCCCTCAATTAGTGGATTTGTCCCTCGGCTGCAGCGGGCGTCCGAGAAGAGGCGAGCAGCCTAAGACAGAGTCGAGTCCGGCAAAAGACGTGGCCCAATGGGAGAGTGCGCCAGAGCGACGGGGGCGGGACTGGGTGCGCGGCGCACGGCCGGGCGGCCGAGGCTCCAATGAGCGTGCGCCGCGTCCGGAGCCGGCCAGTGCGCGAGACGCAGCTGAGAGGTTGGTAGCTAATGTAACAGTTTGCAAACCGAGGGGAGTCGTGAAGGGCGCGGGCTGGGGTCGTGCTGCTAGCCTCGTGGTTTCGCCTGCCATCGCGTTGTTCCCAGAGCTGGGGCCACAGAAGCAGAGGCAAGAGGTAGAAGGGGTGGAGATCACGATGGGGGCTGGCCATCCCTCCTAGAGGGAGGCAACGTGCTAGCTCTGGGAGTGGGTCGGTCGTAGGAGGGCCACACGGATACCGGGACTCTTGGGTCCCCACAGCTTGGTCCCGCGGCGCCCCCTCGCGTAGCGGGGCCGGGCGGGGGGTCGGAACCCATTTCCGGGAATGGGTGCTGTCGCCTTTGTCAGGTAAGGCTTAGGTGAATACGGGGCACCTGGTACTCGCCAGGCAAGGAATCTTATGTTCCCGGCGTAGGCGGCGGGGCTGGGGGTGCACAACCCAAAGGGATGCTGAGTAGACAGGCTCTTCCATCCCAGTCTCCCCCAGTGTCACTATCTCTCAGTTGTCTTCCAGGCCCGGCCCGGCCTGGCTTTCCGTGCGGGCGGGGGAGCTCCAGGTGTGGGAAGCTCCGGTGTGGGGAGGTGGTTGAGTCCTGGGCGGGGATTCGTGGCCACAACCAGAGTATCTCACGGTAGGACTAGTGTAATGGTGCGGCAATCACTGCCTGTGCAATAGGAAGTGTCTGGTCCCCTTCTCCTGTCCTTGCTGTTTCACCAGGGCCTTTGTGGGGGCACTTCCGGGGATAATTAGAGGCTTAGTCTTCTGAGGAGGAGGGGTGGGGACCGTAGGCTGCTCTGCCCTGGTGAGAATGGAGCAGGTATGAATCTTAAAGGTTCTCTGTTTTGGGATGAAGTTCTGTCTCCTTCACTCAGGGTATCCCGTTAACAAGTGTTTTTCTTCTCCCCAGGTGCAAAATGGCAACCACTGTCAGGAGGCAGAGGAGGCTCGCCTGTTGGACTTTAATGGCTGTGCTCTTGGCAGACCTGGTGGCACTGAGTGGTGTGTACCTCAGCAGAGGGATGAAAGGAGTAATAAATGAGTGAATGATGAATGATAAATGGTGGGAAGGGGAAATGAGGCTCTTGATTAGAAGCCTCTGGACTCTTCAGTTGCTGGACCCAGGCCTTTTTTGTTATGTTTTTTGCTGTCTTACCTTCTCCATGGAAAATGGTATATTTCGATTAAGCGATCCTCAGGAAGGTGGGGAAAAAGGAGGTAATTGACAAATTTATTTCCTCTTCAGATATGCTGGCAGTGATGTCTGTGGACCTGGGCAGTGAGTCCATGAAGGTGGCCATTGTCAAACCTGGAGTGCCCATGGAAATTGTCTTGAACAAGTAAGGGCAGCCACAGTGCCAGGGGTGGGAAAAGAGGGAGTTTGGGCTCCAACGTGCTGCGTGTTCTTGGAAGTCGTTGGAAGTGTTCTTAGGGCCCACAACAGACTTTGGTGTTTGGGTGATTGATTGTATGTGTGGTGTCGAGGCTCCTGGGCCCCTACTCTGCTGTAGGCTCCTGGGCCCAATGTCTCTTCCTCAGGGAATCCCGGAGGAAAACCCCAGTGACTGTGACCCTGAAAGAAAATGAAAGATTCTTTGGAGACAGTGCAGCAAGCCTGGTGAGCTAGCAGCCTACCCCCTTCCCAGAAGTAGTGAGCAGAGGAGAGGAGGTGATAGACCTAGAGCCTGTTACCTTTATCAGTCTCTTCTGTAAGAGGTAGGTGATGGTGAACTTGGGAGCTAATGCTCAGTTCCTTCTTTCCATTTTCTTAGGCCATCAAGAATCCAAAGGCTACTCTGCGTTACTTCCAGCAGCTCCTGGGGAAACAGAAGGATAACCCTCATGTGGCCCTTTACAGAGACCGTTTCCCAGAGCACGAGCTAGGCTTTGACCTGCAGAGGCAGACTGTGTACTTCCAAATCAGTCCGTGAGTACTGTGTTGGAGAAGTGTCCTTCCTTTTTAATGCCTGGCTTTTCTTGCCTCTAACTATCTCCCTTCCCCTAGGCAGCTGCACTTCTCACCTGAGGAGGTACTGGGCATGGTTCTCAATTACTCTCGTTCCCTGGCTGAAGATTTTGCAGGTGAGCAGCCAAGGTGAAGCCAGTGGTGGCCAGGTTCCCTAGGGTCTCAGATGGTGGCAGTTTTGACTCCAAGGGAATATTTGGCTGTGTCTCAAGACATTTTTGGTTGTCCCAGCTGGGGAGCTGCCATTGGCATTTAGTGAGTAGAGGACAGGGGTGCTGCCAAACATTCTGCAATATACAGGACAGCCCCCACAACAAAGAATTATCTGGCCTAAAGTGTCACTAGTACCAAGACTGGAAAGTCCTCATCTAAGGTATGGAGCTGGTGGGAACCCTGTTCTGTTGTCCTCTGTAGAACAGCCCATCAAGGATGCAGTGATCACTGTGCCAGCCTTCTTCAATCAGGCTGAGCGCCGAGCTGTACTGCAGGCTGCTCGCATGGCTGGCCTCAAAGTACTCCAGCTCATCAATGACAACACTGCTATTGCCCTCAGTTATGGTGTCTTCCGTCGGAAAGATATCAACACCACTGCCCAGGTGAGCCAGGGAGGAACTTCTCACCAGACCTGCAGGGTGACTTGTTCTGAGGATGGATGCTACTTGGCTCATTTTTGTTGGTACAGGTTGCCACCTCTCAGCCCCTATTGGAGCCATTAGACTTTCAGTTGAGAGTTGGTGCAGCCACTTGGAAGCAGGCAGGCAGTCTGGATTTGGATTCCTGTGACAATTAATTTGATGTCTCTACAGAACATCATGTTTTATGACATGGGCTCAGGCAGCACTGTGTGCACCATTGTGACCTACCAGACAGTGAAGACTAAGGAGGCGGGGATGCAGCCACAGCTGCAAATCCGAGGAGTGGGGTAAGTGGGGGATGAGAGGAAGGCTGCTTGCTGAGAGAGACCCTGAGGTTGGGGGTGTGTTTTTGGAGGGGCAACTGCCTCAGTTTCCTCCTCCCTGCAGGAATGTTGACCTGGTTAAAGTGTCGTTAATCATTGTAGGATATTTCTGCCAAAAAGCAAGGGGAAAATGGGAGGAGAAGACAGTTTGGGAAGATTGAAAGGCAAGGAACCTACTGAACTTTTAAGAAAATTCACAAGACTATTTGCCATACATAGCATGTCAGATTCAATCTTTTATTCACTGTCTCACCCATTCCAGTTTACTTAAATAACATCACTGGCATTGTCTTAGTTCTTGAACCCATTCTTTTCCATCCTTCTCTACCACTACCACCTTAGTTCAAATTACCATCACCTTTTACCTATAGAATTTCAAAGATCTCCTGCTTCTAATGTGGTCTCCATCCAGTTCTTTCTCCACATTGTAGCCAGAGAATTCTTTTTGAAATGGCAGCCTGATTATAACCAGTTTCTTTAAAAACTCTTCAGCACTCTCCCTCTTGGGACCATGTCCATACCTTTCTTCCTTCTCAGGTGTGTGTCTACTAAACTCTAAGGGTCCCCACGAGAATTGCAACCAGGGGAGCAGTGGGCAGCTTGTCCCAGGCCTAGCTCCCAGAACCTGTCTCCAAGGCCCCCTTTTATGACGTTTTAATGAGCCAAAGCAACCCTGACTAGACTCACTTCTTTCCTGTAACATTTCAGTAAAGCCAAAGCATCCCTGTCTACACTCTCTCCTTTTGCTGCTTCTGTCCTAAACCCTTCCTTGTTTCACTCTCCTCAGCTTTAGTAAACATACGCTCAAAATCATACATACATACATACATACATACATACGTACATACATAAATACCTTCAGCGATCTATAAAGCTGTGCCTGTGTGCTTGTCTCTAATCCTGAGCCTCTTGCTCTTTGAGCTTCAACCATACCTGCCCTCATTTGGAATTTACCATGTTTTCTTTCACCTCAGGATCTTTACATATATTGTTTTCCCTGTCTAGAATGTTTTTTTCTCTTCACCTAGTTAACTCCAGCTTATCCATCAGGTTTCAGCTTGAGCATCACTTGTTCACTGAACTTTCCCTGACATAATGAAATAGCTGAAATTTCTCACGTATAGGTTGTAAAAGCATTGTCTGCCTCTCCTTTATAATATGTAAGAGTGGTTAAAATTTCACATTTATATGATTATTTGATTTCTAGATTGTAGACTCCTTGACAAGAGATATCTTGTCTTTTTTTCTCACAGTTGCATCTCCAGAAACAAATAATATAGTTGATGCCCAGTTATTACAGTTGAATGGGTGGGTGGATGAATTGTCACTGCAAGGTGTCACCATGTGAGATGAGAGTTAGGTTCCTATGTAGGTGAAGGGGTCCAGTGTGTTCCTTACATTTGTCCCTGTTACCTTTCCTGAACAGATTTGACCGTACCCTGGGGGGCCTGGAGATGGAGCTCCGACTACGTGAGCACCTGGCCAGGCTTTTCAATGAGCAGCGCAAGGGACAGAGAGTGAAGGACGTGAGGGAGAACCCCCGTGCCATGGCCAAGCTGCTACGTGAGGCTAATCGACTCAAAACTGTCCTGAGTGCCAATGCTGACCACATGGCACAGGTGCCCACATGGCACTGGTTGAGGGCAATATTCCTCAACTAGAGGGTGGATGACCCCCTATCCTGAACTAGGCTACTTGGGCCTGGTGTGGCCCATCCCTCCTTCCTATGCCTCCTGACATCTTTCTGAAGTTCTATATCCTTGGTTTCTGGGCTTCCTTTTAGGAAGCAGGACCTGTGTAAGAGCTCTGACATTCCTTTTCCATCCCCAGATCGAGGGCCTCATGGATGATGTGGACTTCAAGGCAAAAGTAACTCGAGTGGAGTTTGAAGAGCTATGTGCAGACTTATTTGAGCGAGTGCCTGGGCCTGTGCAGCAGGCTCTCCAGAGTGCCAAAATGAATTTGGTAAGTGGTAGTCAGAGGTGGACCTGGGGTGAGAGACAGGTGAGATAGAAAGCTATTAGATTAGGCAGGAGGGAGGAGCAGGAATATTAAAGGAAGAGTCAGTGCTGAGGAGGAAAGTCAGGTACATGCTGTTCCATCTCATATTCTTTCTCACTCTGCAGGATGAGATTGAGCAGGTGATCCTGGTGGGTGGGGCCACTAGGGTCCCCAAAGTTCAGGAGGTGCTGCTGAAGGCTGTGGGCAAGTGAGTGTGGGGGCTAGGACTCCAGGGCTGAGTGGCTGGAAGGCTGAGGGGAGGGAGGCTGAACTGGGAGCTACAAAACAGTCAATGCTGAAGCTTGGGACTTTAACAGGGAGGAGCTGGGGAAGAATATCAATGCAGATGAAGCAGCTGCTATGGGGGCTGTATACCAAGCAGCTGCACTCAGCAAAGCCTTCAAGGTGAAGCCCTTTGTTGTCCGGGATGCAGTGATCTACCCCATCCTGGTGAGTTAGCGTGTCTGATCAGATGACAAGCTCCCTTTACTTCTCTTAAGTGTGATCTCCCCTTCTGTCTACCCTAATCTGTCTCTTTGTTATTCTGCCAATTGATATTACTTACCCACCCTTACCCCAGAACCAGTTGTGATTCTCTAGTGTGCCTCCTTTGCCTTGCTGTGTAGGTCGAGTTCACAAGGGAGGTAGAGGAGGAGCCTGGGGTTCGCAGCGTGAAGCACAATAAGCGTGTTCTCTTCTCCCGGATGGGGCCCTACCCTCAACGCAAAGTTATTACCTTTAACCGCTACAGCCATGATTTTAATTTCCACATCAACTATGGTGACCTGGGCTTCCTGGGGCCTGAGGAGCTTCGGTGAGGGGCGGGGAACGAAAGGATGGAGCTCCAGGGAGGGAGGACTTGAGGGTTACAAGGCTAACCCAGGGGAAGCGGTGTGGGGGTTGGGGTGTGGGGGGGGAAAAAGGATCAGGGAGGGAGGACTTGAGGGTTACAAGGCTAACCCAGGGGAAGCGGTGTGCAGGGTTGGGGTTGGGGTAAGCATCTTCTCTAGAAGGTGCTGCCCTCCTCCTGAGGGAGGGCCTCAATACTTTGTGTCAGAAAGCTGTGTAGTTAAGAGCTGGGGGCAGACTGAGAGGGTTCCCCTGAACTGCTCTTTTTTTCCCAATTAGGGTATTTGGCTCCCAGAATCTGACTACAGTGAAGCTAAAAGGTGTCGGTGAGAGCTTCAAGAAGTATGCTGACTACGAGTCCAAGGGCATCAAGGCTCATTTCAACCTGGACGAGAGTGGTGTGCTCAGCTTAGACAGGGTGAGCACAGAAACCCCGTGTACAGGGCAGGGGCCCAGGCCCCACCACCCTTTTCCAAAACATGAGAAACAAAAAGGGTTTGGGGATTGAATAAATCTTGGCTGTAAACGAAGTTAACCAGGGGTTCACTGTGGCCCTTCTGATAACCTGTAAATGTTTATGGACATTATAAATTTTAAGATCTATACAGTGGCTGAGGAACCCATTTTTGAAGAACAATTTTTAGGGTTAATATCTTTTAGAGCATGGTCTTGGAAATAATGGCTCATTCAGTTGAATAGAAAAGTACAGGGCTCATGGGGCAACAAAGGAGCTGTGATCCTGTCCTCAGAGGGCTCATAATCAAAAGAGGGAGGGTGACTTGGTCCAGGAGCTTTTAGAAGAAGGTAGGTGAGAGAATAAGCCAGCACAGCTGGGACTCATGTGGATGTGAATAAGCAGACCCCACCATGGCTGGAGGTTTGTGGTAAAAAGGTAAGTTTACAGTTTACATGTGCATTTCTTCACCTCGAATCTCTGTTTTCAGGTAGAGTCTGTGTTTGAGACACTGGTGGAGGACAGCCCAGAGGAAGAATCGACTCTGACCAGTAAGATTTTGTGTGTGTGTGTGTGTGTGTGTGTGTGTGTGTGAGAGAGAGAGAGAGAGAGAGAGAGAGAGAGAGGGAGGGAGGGAGGGAGGGAGGGAGGGAGGGAGAGGGGATATACTTGTGTGCATATTGAGAAAGTGAGCAGGCCTTGCCTTTGAGTTAGGAGGTAGAACTACCTCTGTGGTCCCATTTCAGTCTTTGGGCTTTCTTACCCCTAGAACTTGGCAACACCATTTCTAGCCTGTTTGGAGGAGGCACCACACCAGATACCAAAGAGAATGGTACCAACACCATTCAGGTAAGCCCAGAATGGAGCCAGGAGAGCCTGAAAGATGGTATGTGGGGGCAGAAAGGTGGAGCCGCCTAGGATTTAATAAAGTTCCCTCTCAGTCCATGACGAGTATCCATACCCTCCTCTGCACTCTGAGCTGTTTCTGTGCTCGAGATGCAAGGCCCATTCCCCTTGCCTCCAGACCCTTCTTTTTTGTTAGCTAGACTGCTGCAGTCCAAACAACCCACCACCCATTTCTATACAGTTGCCTTCTGTCTACCTTCAAAGCAGAGCCACTGGACTTGGCCTTGCTAAGCTAGTCTTGCTACATAGTTCCTGACCATCCCCTGTGTTGTGTCTGTGATTGTGTCCCAGGAGGAAGAGGAAAGCCTTACTGAGGGGAGCAAGGATGAGCCTGGAGAGCAAGCGGAACTCAAGGAAGAAGCTGAGACCCCAGTAGAGGACACCTCTCAACCCCCACCTCATGAGCCCAAGGGAGATGTAGCCCCTGAGGGAGAAAAGGCCATAAACAAAGAAAATGGGGAAACGTCTGAGGCCCAGGTAAGCTACAGGCAAAATAAGGCCAGGCTGGACACAGGCTAAAGAAGCAGGTGCCTGCCTTGTTTCTCATCTCCTCAAGCCTTGACTGTGGATAATAGAAGGACCTAAGCTTTTCCTGACCTCCTCATCTCTCCACACAGAAGCCAAGTGACAAGAGGGAGCCAGGGTCTGAGGCTGTCTCTCCAGCTCCAGAGGAAGAAAAGAAGCAGAAGCCTTCCAGGAAGCAGAAAATGGTAGAGGAGATTGGGGTGGAGCTAGTAATTCTGGACCTACCTGACTTGTCTGAGGACAAGCTGGCCCATTCAGCACAGAAGTGAGTAAAGACTGTGTGTTTGTGGGTGTAGGTGTGTGTATGTGGAGGGTGGGCAGGATGCACAATGGTGTCTCTGTGCACTCCCTCTCCCTCATGCCTGTCTCTCCTTTTGTCCTGCAGACTTCAGGACTTGACAGTCCGAGACCTAGAGAAGCAGGAACGGGAGAAAGCTGCCAATAGCTTGGAAGCTTTCATCTTTGAGACCCAGGTTGGTAGAGTGGGAGGCACACTTGCCTTGGGACCTGCGCCTGGCTCTGTGAGCCTTGCACTCAGGGGCTTACTGCATGCCTGTGCTTGTATGTACCGCCCTAGGACAAGCTATACCAGTCCGAGTACAAGGAAGTGTCCACTGAGGCACAGCGTGAAGAGATCTCTGGGAGACTCAGTGCTGCTTCCACTTGGCTGGAAGATGAAGGCTTTGGAGCCACCACAGTGGTGAGGGGTCTCCCAGGATATGGTGGGTGGGATGGGTGCTCTCTTCTTCTAGGGTCAGAAAAGGTGAGAAGAGCTGGAGTGTGAGGTCCTAAAGAGGGTTTCAGGGCTGGCCTCAGGGCTATTCTGTTATCTTTTCAACTCCTCTACCTATTCCCATACCATATCCATCAGATGTTGAAGGAGAAGCTGGCTGAGCTGAAGAAGCTGTGCCAAGAGTTGTTTTTTCGGGTGGAAGAGCGTAAGAAGTGGCCTGAGCGTCTCTCTGCCCTTGATAATCTCCTCAACCATTCCAGCATGTTCCTCAAGTGAGCAGTCCCTTACCCTTTCTTCCTTATTCAGTCTTGCCAAGCCCATCAACTCTCCTTCCCATCAGCTTCCCATTCCCCATACCCACATCCCAGGCCCCACTTCTTCCTGAGCTGATCGTTTCCCTTCTGGCTTCCAGGGGTGCCCGGCTTATCCCAGAGATGGACCGGATCTTCACTGAGGTGGAGATGACAACATTGGAGAAAGTCATCAATGAGACCTGGGTAATCCCTGTGTAAATACTTTAATTGGATGCTTACCTGGCAACCCCCTGTGTTAGGCAGCATGGGAGATGCAAAGAAGTGGAGACTCAGCAGGCCTCTGCCTCCTGGCTTAGCAGCTAATTGGGAAGGCAAAAGATGTTTGTATTTGAGGTTATGTCTGATTAGTCCCAAACAAGCGTCAGAGCCATGAGTGGTCAGACTGGAGGAGCAACATCCCTGTAAGGTTAGAGAAAGATGCCTTGAGGAGCTGGGACGTGAGCTGGACTCAGAAAGTGGCCCAGGATTTGGGTAGGTGAGAATGATATGTGAAGTGGAAACTGTTTTGGAAGTGTGGGAACATTTTTGAACCAGAGCTCAGAAGTGGACAGACAAGAAGGGAATGATTAACAGGTTCAGCTGTATTTAGTTTAAAGTAGTAGAACGTATGCCGGAAACATGTAGTTTGAGACCCTTATGGAGAGCCTTGAATGTCATTCTGAGGAGTTTGCTTACCCCTGTGCGGCTGATGACCAAAGGTGGAAACGTGATTTGAAGTCCGAGGGAAGGGCCTGAGGCCAGTTGGGGGTGTGTTTCATCTGGGACAGAGATGTCTGCTATCTCCATTGTTAGCTCTGAGCCTGTGCTGGCCTCACCCACAGGCCTGGAAGAATGCAACAATGGCTGAGCAGGCCAAGCTTCCCACCACAGAGAAGCCAGTGTTGCTCTCAAAAGACATTGAGGCCAAGATGATGGCTCTGGACCGTGAAGTGCAGTACTTGCTAAATAAGGCCAAGTTTACCAAGCCCCGGCCTAGGCCCAAGGGCAAGAATGAAACCCGGGCAGAACCGCCACTCAATGTCAGTGCCAGTGACCAAGGGGAGAAGGTCATCCATCCACCAGGTGAGGGCACAGTGCCTGCTTCCAGATGCTACTGGGCAGAAAGAAGGCCGCCTTTCCCTTCTGAGACCATTTTACTCCTGGTTTCTCTCCAGGCCAGACTGAAGATGCAAAGCCCATTTCAGAATCTGAAAAAGAGACTCGTGAGTTGGGGAAACTGAGAATATGAACCTCGCTCAGCCTAGGGGTTGGCAAACTGACAGGCATAGCCTGTTTCTGGATAGCCCATGAGCTATGAATGATCATTACATTTTGGAGTGGTTTTTTTTTTTTAAGATTTTTTAAATTTATTTTTAGAGAGGAGAAGGGAGGGAGAAAGAGAGGAAGAGAAACATCAGTGTGTAGTTGCTTCTCACGCACCCCCTACTGGGTACCTGGCCCGCAACCCAAGCATGTGCCCTGACTGGGAATTGAACCGGCTACCTTTTGGTTGGCAGACCAGCACGCAGTCCACTGAGCCATACTAGCCAGGGCTACATTTTGGAGGAATTTAAAAGAAAAAAAGAATATGCAGAGACTGAGTATGACCAATAAATCCTTAAATATTTACTCTGGCTCTTTACAGAAAAAGTTTGCCAACCCCTCCATTAGTTCCTTCTTCCCTTCTGCAGACACTAAACTATTCCTTCCCAAAAGCAGGATCTGGACCAGCAGATGCTGAACCTCTTGAGTTAGAAGGTCCTGGAACAGGTGAGGGTGTAGCTAGGGGTATGATGGGAAGCCTGGTAGGGTCTGGGGGAATTGTCTGAATAGAAGTGGGGCCAGTTAACCTCCATTTTACCTGCTGTTGTTTTGTTCTCTCCCCATCTCTCAACAGAATCTGAACAGAAGGAGCAGCCAACAGGACAGAAGCAAACTTTGAAGAATGATGAACTATAACCCCTGCCTTTCAGTTCCCCATTCCTTCCCACCCCTTTCTCCTACCACCTCTATTTATTTAACATCAAGGGTTGAGGGGAGGTGTTATTCCTTCCCTCAGAGGCTTAAGTTCCTTTTCTCCTCACCTGTGATTGGATGTGTGGATAAGGGGAAGGAAGGGACAGCTTACCAGTTTCTTCCATAGTAGTTCTGTGGTAAAACTGAAATTGTTCTGTTCCCCAATCCCTTCCCCCGGTTCTCTACCTATCCAGGCCATAAATTGGGAAAAATCACTATTAGGTCTCAGTTCTTTGTGGATAAGTAAGAGTATGTTCATCAGTGATTGGCAGACCTGGTAGTGGGAAAGATGTCCTCTATTATTAGTCTCCAGTTTTCTGTGGTCATTATCCCTTCCCTCCTTTCCTCTTCCACACAAAAGTAATGTCACATAGGAGCCAATGTCTACAGAGCCTTGGTTTGATTTCTGAGTGCCTATTTATGCTCTTTTCTTCTCCCAAGTTCTCTTTCCCTAAACCATCCTCATTGACTTTTCTTCCTATGGGTTTCCTTGGCTTGCTATTGTAAGTTAGGCAGCTCCTTGCCCAAAGCAATTTCATCTGCACAGGCTGAAGTAAATCTAAGTTGATTCACACCAGCACGCACAATGCCCAGTGGCCAGAATAGACAGAGAAAGTGAAGGGAATTCAGCCACCTGTCCAGGAGTGAGCTGTATGAAAACCCTTGTGGACACTTGGCCCAGGAGTGCCATGTGGAGTGGCTGGCATGGGGTGCCAGCATCCTGCAAGTGTCGTCAAAATCTGCCCCTTTGCATTAGCCTAGTGCTCCCTGTCCCTGTGACTGTATATGCCCTCTTTCTCTCCTGCTGCTCTGCCCTTCCAGGCATCCTTCCCCTCAACCCATGACTCCCTGGGCTGACCAAAGTGTGCTTTCTACTGTGAGCCCATAACCCAAGACCCTAGGAGGAGGAGAGAACATGGTGTGAATGTAAAAATGTCACCTCACTTCTTTGAGGCAGGCCCTGTTGGTGGAGGAAGAGACTGGCTTTCTTTTGTGCATTGCTCTGCTAGGATGGGGGCCCTTTACCCACTATACTGGTGTTGGGGAGACTGTCCAACATTATGCCTGTAGCAGGAGCCACAGCTGCCACCCCACTTCCTAGTGCAACAGGAAGCCTGTTTATGTCTTTTTTTTCCTTCTTCTTCTTCTTCTTCTTTTTTTTTTTTTTTTTTGCCACATTGGCAGAAAAGAAACCTAAGGGTCCCCATCCTGTCTGTATGTTTGAGTTATTTCAATAGCAGCTGAGGCTGGTTGGGCAGGTGTGAGTCAAATTGTACTTTGCTCCATTGTTAATTGAGAAACTTTCAATAAAATATTATTTTCTACAGTTTTTGTGCTGTGGTTTTTAAAATTATTTCCTGAATATAAACAATCTTTTTCTAAGCTCTTCTTTTTTTTTTTTTCCTGTTTTGTCAAATGTGACTTAATGCTCCCAGGCCGTTTTATTTATTTTTAGAGAGGGGAAGGGAGGGAGAGAAACATCAATGTGTGGTTGCCTCTCTCATGCCCCCAACTGGGGACCTGGCCTGCAGCCCAGGCATGTGCTCTGACTGGGAATCAACCGGCGACCTTTTGGTTTGCAGGCTGGCACTCAATCCACTGAGCCACATCAGCCAGGGCAGGATCTTTCTTTTACAAAACTTGGAAGATAGAAATTTGAATAATAAATTTAAGTTACCTAACACAATACCAAAACAACATTTTGGACATAGGTAAGATCATATATGTAAGTTTTTTATTGCAAACAAAATGGCGGTTTTATGTTTATCCTGACATTACTTGGGACCCCTATTTCATTTTTAGGTAACAACTTCCATTTTTAAGATAACCTATTTTATAAAGAAAAGTTTACAGTTCCTAGAGGTTCAGTAATTTACCCAAGGAATTACAGGTGTTAGGTGCCTCAGTTAGGTTTGAACTTAATTCTGAGCTGTTAACTCAGAATAAGCTGTTAACTACTCTGACACAAGAATATGTTTTTAAAGTTTCACTATTCACAGCACAATTTGGGTAGTCCATCAAAGGAAGATCACTCTAGTCATTAATTGTATGCTTATCTAAGCAGTTGAATAATGACTGTGAAGTTTATAATTTTCTTTAAAGGTTGAATAGGTCAGAGCCCTGGTCAAGTAGCTCAGTTGGTTAGAACCACGTTCCAATACACCAAGGTTTAGAGTTCGATCCCCCAGTCAGGGCACATAGAAGAACCAACCAATGAATGTGTAAGTGGAACAATGAATTGTTTCTTCTACCTCTCTTTAAAATAAATAAATTCTTTACAAAATGTTCAACAGGGCAGACAACTTTTGAACCTGGAAGTTGTTTTTTTTTTAATAGACTATTTGTTAGACAGTTTTAGGTTCACAGCTAAATTGAACAGAAAGAACAGTTCACATAGGGATTGGCAAAAGTAGGTTTTCAGTTATGAGTAGTTCTTGTATTATTATGTATCAATTACTGTATCTGTTTTATTTGTCTTACTGTTTTTATTTTGTATTCTTATGATTTATACTTTAAGTAATGATGGCTGGTAATTTAACTTACTTTTGCCCACCCCTGTAACCCTCTGCCTGCCTCCAACATACACACAACCTCCCCTGCTATGGGTGAGGCATTGGTTAACAATTGATGAACCTACATGTCATTATCACCCAAAGTCCATAGTTTATATTAGGGTTCATTCTTGGTATGTACAATCTTTGAGTCTGGACAAATATATAATGACATGTATTCACCATTACATGCCATACAAAATATTTCATTGCCCTAAAAATCCTCTGTACTCTGCCTATTCATCCCTCCCTCCCTCCCTCCTCTCCAACCCCTGGCAACCACAAATCTTTTTACTGACTCCATAGCTTTGCCTTTTCCAGAATGTCATATAGTTGGAATCATATAGTACATATCCTTTTCAGGTTGGCTTCTTTCACTTGGTAATGTGCAGTTAAGTTTCCTCCATGTCTTTTCATCTTAGCTCTTTTTTTTTTAGCACTGAAAAATATTCCATTGTCTGGATGTACCACAGTTTACCCACTCATGTACCGAAGGACATCTTGACTGCTTTTCGAAGTTTCAGCAATTATGAATAAAGCTTCTGTAAACATTTTTGTTCAGGTTTTAAGTTTTCAACTCATTTGGGTATGTAAATTATACATACATTTACATAGTTATATATTTAACATCATAAGCATTCATTAACAATTCCTGAATTTAAAAGTACTGAGCTTTTTTTTTTAATCCTCTCTTCAGGATATGTTTATTGCTTTTGGATGAGGTGGGGGAGAGAGACAATGCAAGAAACACTGATTGGTGGCCACCTGTTCACAACCTTACTGGGGATCGAAATCACAATCTAGGTATGTGCTCTGATTGGGAATCAAACCTCCCACAACCTTCTGGTGTAGAAGACAATACTCCAATGAACCTAGCCACCATGCCAGAGCAGTACTGAGCTTTTTGTTGTTGTTTTCTTTGTGCCGGAGACTCCTATTTATTAATGGCTTGATGGCTCCCTTTGTGCCCAGCACTTCACAAGCATCTTCTCTTTCAATCCTACCCTGTTTGAGAGAGGAAGCAACAGTCTCAGAGAGGGTTGTCCTGAGAAACTGGAGATTCCAAAAACCTGAGCACCAACCTAGATGGCTGGGCGCACTATAGTACTGAGCTTTTTAATAGCCATTATTTTTATTTATTTAAGATTTTATTTATTTGTTTTTTAGAGAGAGAGGAAGGGAAGAAGAGAGGGAGAGAAACATAGATCTGTTGCCTCTCACACACCCGCAACTGGGGACCTGGCCCACAACCCAGGCATGTGCCCAATGGGAAATCGAACCTGTGACCTTTTGGTTCACAGGCTAGCGCTCAATCCACTGAGCCACACCATCCAAGGAATTAGCCATTATTTTTAAAGGGTTGATTTTGATCCTGCTAGTTTCCATCATCAGGTGGGCATTATTAACAGTATTGTGATACACTGAATAGATATACCACTGTTTACTTAATATCTCCTCTATTACACACCTGGGGTGTTCCTGCTTTTAATTATTATAAACAATAGTGACTACATCTGGGCACGAAGTTACTTTCATGATCTCTTAGGTTACATTAGAAGGTAGAAATATTTAATATAGTGGCTGTCAATCAGGGACGATTTTGCCAAGGGACATTTGGCAATGTCTGAAGACATTTTTGGCTGTCACAGTTGGAGCAGGGAGGGAAGAGAGGGCACCTAGTCGATAGATGTCAAGGATGCTGCTAAACATCCTACAATGCACAGGACAGTTCCCCACCCCCATCACAAAGAATTGCCCAGTCCAAGGTGTCAATAGTGCTTATATTGGGAAACCTAATGTAAATTCTCAAGTGTTATCGTCTTTAATTTTTTTAAAGATTTTATTTATTTTATTTTTAGAGAGGGGAAGGGAGGGAGAAAGAGGGAGAGAAACATCAATGTGTGGTTGCCACCGGAGCACCCCCTGCTGGGGACCTGGCCTGCAACCCAGGCATGTGCCCTGACTGGGAATCAAACCAGTGACCCTTTGATTCGCAGGCCGGTACTCAATCCACTGAGCTGAGCCACACCAGCCAGGGTTGAAGTGTTATCTTCTTTTAATTCTTTGTTAATGTGTGTGGAAAGCAACATAGTTCATTGATTAAGAACATGGGTTTTAAATCCAACAAATTAGGAACTAGGCAGTAACTCTCCTCCTGATTGTGTTCCTGAAACAAATCATTTGGCTTTCATTTGTCTTACCTTTTTATAGGAAGTTGAGACCCAACCTTGCATGATTTCAAAAACCAACACAGTATCACTTTAATTTTGCCAACCTGACAGAAAAAGTGGCATCAATTTTAATTTATGATTGAGTTTAAGCATCTTATTTAAGAGTCACTTGTATTTTCTCTATTTATAGCCATCTGTTCCCTATCTTTTGTCAATTTTTCTATTAGATTGTTCATCTTAAAGATTTTTAAGAATTATTTATATATGAAGAAAATCAGTCCTTTGCCTATCAGTTGTACATATACCTTACCCAGTTTATGTTTTGATCTTGTATATGATCTTCATTACAAAGAAATGTATTGTAGGTAGAACTTACCAATAGTTTTTGTATGGCTTTAGGTTTGTTATACATAGGACCCAGAAATTTCTTTTCTGGGTATTTATCCAAAGAAACTCAAAATACTAAATTGAAAAAACATATAAATCCATACATTTATTACAGCATTATTTACAATAGCCAAGATATGGAAGCAACTTAAATTGATAGATATAATTGATATAATTGATAGATAAAGAAGTGATGCACATACAATGACATATGACTCAGCCATAAAAAAGAATGAAACTTTGCCATTTGCAACAACATGGATGGACCTAGAGGGTATAGCACTGAGAGAAATAAGTCAGAGAAAAACAAATTCCAAATGATTTCACTTAAAGTAGAATCTAAAAACCAAAATAAAAGATGCAGAACAGAAACAGACTCATAGATACATAGAATATGTTGATGGTTGCCAGATAGGGGGGGTGGTTGGAAAGATTGGTGAAAAAGACGAAGAGATTAAGAAGTACAAATTGGTTGTTACAGATTGGCCATGGGGATGTAAAGTACAGCATAGGGAATTTTGTCAACAACATTGTAATAACTATGTATGGTGTCAGATGGGTAGTAGAGTTACTGGGGTGATCATTTTGTAAGTTATACAAATGTCTAATCACATGGTTGTACACCTAAAACTAATATAATATTGTATATCAACTGTAACTGAAAAATGAAAAGTTATTTTAAAGAAGAATGAATAGTAATTTAAACTGTAGACTGTGGATAATAATGATGTGTCTATGTAGGTTCAATTGTAACAACTATGCTACTCTGGGTGTTGATGACTGGGGGGAGGCTGTGCATGTGTGAGGCCAGAGATATGTGGGAACTCTCTGTACTTTCCACTCAATTTTTCTGTGAACCAAAAACTGCTGTAATAAATCTATTAAACACATACACAGCATACCAAAAATTGTGGTGTTTAGTGAAAGCAGTGTACAGAGAGAACTTTAAAAGAAGAAATATCTCAAATCACAGTCTAACTTCACATCTTAAGGCTTTAAGTAGAAAAACAAAAGCAGCTCTGGCTGGTGTGGCTCAATGGATTGAATGCTGACCTGCAGACCAAAAGTTTGCTGGTTCAATTCCTGGTCAGGGCCCAATGCCTGGGTTGCGAGGCGGGTTCCCAGAGCAGGCATGGAAGAGGTAACAACACATTGATGTTTCTCTCTCTTTCTTTCTCCCTCCC